ACTGTCAGCTACGCACGTTAAACCTCACAGCAAATAAAATCTCAGACATTGGAGCACAGCACTTGGCTGAAGCCATCAACAACAACAACTGTCAGCTACACACGTTAAACCTCACAGCAAATAACATCTCAGACACTGGAGCACAGCCCTTGGCTGAAGCCATCAACAACAACAACTGTCAGCTACGCACGTTAAACCTCACAGCAAATAAAATCTCAGACATTGGAGCACAGCACTTGGCTGAAGCCATCAACAATAACAACTGTCAGTTACACATGTTAAACCTCACAGCAAATAAAATCTCAGACATTGGAGCACAGCACTTGGCTGAAGCCATCAACAGCAACAACTGTCAGCTACGCAAGTTAGACCTCACAAGAAATAACATCACAGAAGCAGGTAAACGACAAGCAAATAATTTACTTAACAACAGTCAATCAAACTGTCTCCTTATTATCTAACATCGCCAATTCACAAATAATTGTTAAAACTGGAAAAAAAATGACATAACCACTTACAATTCAAAATGTGAGGTAACCAGCTCAGTGACAACTACAACACAACCACAGAATTCGTGAATGAAAGAAAGACAACTAACTTTGTGAAGCACTCTGAGAAGTGAGATTATTTGAACCGGATTGAAATGAAGAAAAATAAACCAATGAATGTGTTTATTTGGGAACATAGAATGTCAAAGTGTCTTTTTTTTTTGTTTATAAGTTTTGTGTTTTAACTTCAATGTTATCGGTTCGTTTAAAACAAACCGATAACATTGAAGTAAAAACACAAAACTTACTGCATAGAAAACAAACAAACCTCGGACCTCTCAGGAAACTTTGTTATTTTATGATTGGTTTATTTCGATCCTAAATTTACTGCATGCTTCTGTATGTTTTGATCACTTACATCTGTCACAAGGAATAGTTTTCTGCTGAGTTTAGTGAAGTTCTTTTCCGGTTTTAAAGTGGATCAGATGAGTAAATACAATACAAGTTTTGCTTTCTAGAATAAGTTTGTTTTCAGTGTTCAATTTTTTTTCAGTCAAAGTGATCTGGTTCGGGTAGTTTCATACTTTCTGCCAATCAAATTGTAACCAAATTGTAAATATGTGAACTCCTTGCTTTTAAAACACAAAATGCCTTTTAGTGGTAAGTGATGTGAGACTTATGTCATTTTAATATGCACAATTTTGAGGGGGTTTCTGCAGTTGTTATAAATATAGGAATGTTTTTGTACATAGGGGCAGAACTCCTAAGTTTATCTGATTAATGTTGAATAAATCACATAAGCAGATTTATCCATGGTGTTGCTGTCAATTTAGCTTTTATGGTTTCACATACCAGACAGAATAAAAAGCTTTACACAGATTTTAAGACAGAAAAAACAGTGGACAAAGGGAGGAAATTAGGGAGGGGAGGAAGAAAGCTTGTCAATCTAAAACAAAAGAAGTAACTTGTCTGAGAAACTGCCTCTAGTCACCTGTTGAAGCTCCCCCTTAGTGTTACCTTCTCTTTAGCATGGATAGCACCCTTTGTTGTTAAGTTTCCCACATTGAAATACAAGATTATTATGACCCAATATTAAACCTGGACCAAAATTCCATATCCTGTCTTGAACCAAAGATGAAACATCTTAAAAAGAGAAAGAGAGAAAAGACAGTAGCTTATTTCTTCAAATAAGTGCCTGACCAGTTATTCAAAATTTTGGCCAAAATCATTCATTCCACAATGTTTAGTTTTTTCATAACACACATGTTCAGTTGGGAGATTATTTGTGTTGTGTTCCTGGTACTAAAGACACATGGTGTTGTGAACCAGCGTTCGCCAGGTCAACCACCATGATGTACGAGGCTAGTAGCAAGATTCAAATTTGTTTATTTGAGATTACTTCATGCAGCACATACAGTGATTTCTTAGGCTTGCACTTGTACTATTAACATATTTGAAATGAGTCCAGTCTGGAACATTCCTCTAGATGAAAGTCTTTTTTTCGTTTCCCTTGTGATTGCAGGCATGATTTGCCCCACTCTGTTCTTGGCTCAATTCATTGGTAATAGAAATTTGTGCTATCAGTATACTGATTACTTAGACTAACATCGTACTCCTCCTAACAATAACACCCCTGAATCAAACATTAATAAGGTTTCAAGAATGAAGGAAATGATTACCTATTATAAAAGTTCTCGATTGTTGAACAAATTCTCCTTGTCAGAAGCTCAGGAAATGTATAGAGAACAGTTTGTGGAATATGCACACAGATGTAAGGCCATAAAGAGTTATGGATGAAAATCTGAAGTCAGGGTACAAATTTTCCCTATCGGCGACAATTTATGGTAGGTTTATGCTACGCAAGTTAGACCTCACAAGAAATAACATCACAGAAGCAGGTAAACGACAAGCAAATAATTTACTTAACAATAGTCAGTCAAACTGTCTACTTCTTATCTATCATCACCAATTCACAAATAATTGTTAAAACTCGAAAAAAAATGACATAACCACTTACAATTCAAAATGTGAGGTAACCAGCTCAGTGACAACTACAACACAACCACAGAATTCGTGAATGAAAGAAAGAAAACTAACTTTGTGAAGCACTCTGAGCAGTGAGATTATTTGAACCGGATTGAAATGAAGAAAAATAAACCAATGAATATGTTTATTTGAGAACATAGAATGTCAAAGTGTCTTTTTTTTTTTTGTTTACAAGTTTTGTGTTTTAACTTCAATGGTATCGGTTCGTTTAAAACAAACCAATAACATTTAAGTAAAAACACAAAACTTACTGCATAGAAAACAAACAAACCTCGGACCTCTCAGGAAACTTTGTTATTTTATGATTGTTTATTTCGATCCTAAATCTACTGCATGCTTCTGCACACAGATGTAAGGCTGTAAAGAGTTATGGATGAAAATCTGAAGTCTGGGTACACATTTTCCCTATCAGCGACAATTTATGGTAGGTTAATGCTGCGCAAGTTAGACCTCACAAGAAATAACATCACAGAAGCAGGTAAACGACAAGCAAATAATTTACTTAACAATAGTCAGTCAAACTGTCTCCTTATTATCTAACATCGCCAATTCACAAATAATTGTTAAAACTGGAAAAAAAATGACATAACCACTTACAATTCAAAATGTGAGGAAACCAGCTCAGTGACAACTACAACACAACCACAGAATTCATAAATGAAAGAAAGAAAACTAACTTTGTGAAGCACTCTGAGCAGTGAGATTATTTGAACCAGATTGAAATGAAGAAAAATAAACCAATGAATATGTTTATTTGAGAACATAGAATGTCAAAGTGTCCTTTTTTTTTTGTTTACAAGTTTTGTGTTTTAACTTCAATGGTATCGGTTCGTTTAAAACAAACCAATAACATTTAAGTAAAAACACAAAACTTACTGCATAGAAAACAAACAAACCTCGGACCTCTCAGGAAACTTTGTTATTTTATGATTTGTTTATTTTGATCCTAAATTTACTGCATGCTTCTGGGTTTTGATCACTTACATCTGTCACAAGGAATAGTTTTCTGCTGAGTTTAGTGAAGTTCTTTTGGGGTTTTAAAGTGGATCAGATGACTAAATACATAACACAGCTTGCTTTCTAGAATAAGTTTGTTTTCAGTGTTCAATTTTTTTTCAGTCAAAGTGATCTGGTTCGGGTAGTTTCATACTTTCTGCCAATCAAATTGTAACCAAATTGTAAATATGTGAACTCTATGCTTTTCAAATACACAAAATGCTTTTTAGTGGTAAGTGATGTGAGACTTATGTCATTTTAATATGCACAATTTTGAGGGGGTTTCTGCAGTTGTTATAAATATAGGAATGTTTTTGTACATAGGGATAGAACTCCTAAGTTTATCTGATTAATGTTGAATAAATCACATAAGCAGATTTATCCATGGTGTTGCTGTCAATTTAGCTTCTACAGTTTCACATACCAGACAGAGTAAAAAGCTTTACACAGATTTTAAGACAGAAAAACCAGTTGACAAAGGGAGGAAATTAGGGAGGGGAGGGGGGGAAGAAAGCATGTCAATCTTAAACAAAAGAAGAAGTAACTTGTCTGAGAAACTGCCGCTGGTCCTCTGTAGAAGCTCCCCCTCAGTGTTACCTTCTCTTTAGCATGGATAGCACCCTTTGTTGTTAAGTTTCCCACATTGAAATACAAGATTATTCCAACCCAATATTAAACCTGGACCAAAATTCCATATCCTGTCCTGAACCAACGATGAAACATCTTAAAAAAAAAGAAAGACAGAAATGAAAGTAGCTTATTTCTTCAAATAAGTGCCTGACCAGTTATTCAAAATTTTGGCCAAAATCATTCATTCCACAATGTTTAGTTTTTTCATAACACACATGTTCAGTTGGGAGATTATTTGTGTTGCGTTCCTGGTACTAAAGACACGTGGTGTTGTGAACCAGAGTTCGCCAGGTCAACCACCGTGATGTATGAAGCTGGCAGCAAGATTCAAATTTGTTTATTCGAGATCACCTCATACAGCACATACGGTGATTTCTTAGGCGAACACTTGTACTATTAACTTATTTGAAATGAGTCCAGTCTGGAACATTCCTCTAGGTTAAAGTCTTTTTGCGTTTCTCTTGTGACTGTGGGCATGATGTGCCACACTCTGTTCTTAGCTCAATTCATTGGTAAGAAGAATTTGTGCTATCGGTATACTGATTACTTAGACTAACATCTTACTCCTCCTTACAATAACACCCCTGAATCAAACATAAAGGTTTCAAGAATGAAGGAAATGATTACCTGTTATAAAAGTTCTCGATTGTTGAACAAATTCTCCTCGTCAGAACCTCAGGAAATGTATAAAGAACAGTTTGTGGAATATGCACACAGATGTAAGGCCGCAAAGAGTTATGGATGAAAATCTGAAGTCTGGGTACAAATTTTCCCTATCGGCGACAATTTATGGTAGGTTACATGATTCATACACACACTTTTGAAGACCGCTGAGGCCAATTTCCAAAATGGCGGCTTTGTCGCGAAGATTCTTGCAGAATCCGTGTTTTCTTCTTTATTCGATGCAAAGAAGACTTGTGACCAAAGTAGCGTCCGATCAAGAGGCAAAAATGGACAAGAAGAGCAAGAGAATGGAAAGCAGGAAGGAAATGTATGTATTGATCTTTTAATTCAAAGAGAAAATTACAGCATTAGGCTGGGAATCGTCTCCTTCGAATATTGAAATATACTCTGTTCATTTTAGATTCAAAGATATCCGCAAGGGCTACTTTTACGACTTCCATGGTGAGAAATATATTCATTTGGCTAAAAAAGTATTAGTTTCTCATTATATTCGTTGCTATCGGAAATGATGACTTTGGTAGCAAGAAGTTATGCCAGTTGGCACCTAAATTGCAAATCGAAGCAACAGTTTATGCATGTAGGATGTTCATGTATTAAATTAAGCGTTTTCTACTTCTTCTGTTCAGAATTTCGTAAGCGCGGTGGAAAGAGATTCTTTGCTTTTAGTGAGCCTAGTGAATTGAAGGTAAGTTAACTGTTACATACCTTTTTGGTGGATCTGATTGTTAATTCTCCCCTCTAGCTGCGATGAATTTCCTTGTAAACTGGTTATGAGAATTTGGTGTTAGATCAAGATAACAACTTCAACCTTATAGTTTTGAGTATTCTCATCACCAGTTTGCTGAATAATTTCAGTTGATATTAATTAATTAATCTTTATTACTTGTTGTTTATTAATCAATTAACTGTTAGAAAGGAATGGATTCTTAGAAACTTGAACTTTTATATTACACCTTTTAGAGAGAGGGAAACTTTTTTTTAAATTTTTTTTTTAGAGAGGGAAACATATCAGAGAGGGAGGGGACTTGCCAGAGAGGGAAAATTACCAGAGAAGGAGACTGATCAGAGAGGGGGCTCATCAGCAAGGGAATTTATCAGAGAGGGGAGCTTAATTGAGAGGGGATGTATCAGAGAGGGGGCTTCTAAGAAAGGGGAAATTATCAGAGAGGGAGAAGGATCAGATAGGGGGGCTTGTTATAGAGAGGGGCTTATTAGAGAGGGGGACTTATTAAAGAGAGATTTATTAAGGAGGGGAATCATTAGAGGGGGGTTCATTAGAGAGGGGGACTTATTATAGAGGGCTCTGTAAGAGAGTGATCCTATGATCCTATGGAGACAGGAGGCTTAATGGAGCATGTACATCAATAAAAATGATCATAACTTTATACTTGTGCTGTATTTTAAACTGGTAGGATTCACAACTCTTTCCTGCATTGAAGGCAAGAACACTGTCTCAGAAAGAAGTTGATTTACAGCAAGAATTTCCAGGTCATGTAACACTGGTGTTACTGTGGATCAAAGCGTATGGAGAGGTATGGTTAGAATCCTTTGCTTCCTTAACATGCCATGAATCCCAAAAAATTATTTTTCCACAAAATACATCTCCTTATCTTACTGATAACAAATTTAAAAAAAATTGATGTTGCATCTATTTTAGTAATTTTTTAAAATTAATTTTTAAAGATCCATTTAAAGTTTAGCTCTGACCAGGATATCTTTTAATGAATTTCCTTTTTCAATACCATAACAGAGCTAGCTCCTTAAATATAGCTCTTGAGCGTGTTAGGCTTTGAATAAGGTGCCATTTCTCAACTATTATTTCTCTGTATTCTTTAGGTTAAGGTAAAACCTATTGTGTTATGAAAGGCAATATTTTCTTCCGTGTGCTGTTTTCTCTGTTTTTCACTGACCTTTCTCTCCCAGTAAAATAAACTTGAGGGATGTATTTGTGCAAAATTTCAATTGGGTATCCTTTATTCTTCAAGCTTGAGAAATGTGTTTTCAGGAAGAGTGGAAATTCTCCCATTCTCCCAATCCCTTCTTTCTTGGTCATTCCTGTCATCCTGGAGGATGACATGAACCAAAATTCATGTATTGGAAGGTCACTGTCTCTATGTAATGCATTTGTACATCAAGGGTTGGTCCCCTCTTAATCTCTTGCCTTTGCATACTATTGTGCCTGAGAATGTAACTTCTGTGGCAGAGTTATCAACTGTGGAGTTTATCATCTGTCAGTTGTTCTGATGTGCTGCCTGCATGAGTTTATCTTAGTTTTATCCCTCTTCCTTTGTCCCTGTTTTCTTTTGCAACTGTTAACCACTTTTTATTCATTTCGGTTATGTTTCACCCTTGTTTCTGGGAAGGCAGAGAATGCACACGTACAAGATTCAACTTCTTTATTGCCAGTTTTTGCTCTCAAATATACTTCAGTTTAGCTTTCAGTTCTATGGTTAGTCGGTGGCATTACTCACTTTTAAATGAAATGAATCTATGGCCACTGATTCTACATTCTTTGAAAGTTCTGTTACTTTAATTTATCTTTAGTTAGTTTCTAGTTTTTGCTCGCTCTAGTTTTCTGAGCTTTGTTGAAATTCTCTCAATGCATCTATGATGAAACTCCACCAGCACTCCGACAGGGTCACCCTCTGCTTTTTTTCCAGTCAAATGTAGATAAATTATCTGATTTAAAATCCTCACAAACCACAATGTTTGACCTTATGTTCTATCTTCGGCTTTTTTGGCATGTGCCCTCCTTGAGATGAGCTTGTAAGAACCCAATAGAATTCTTTCTCAGTTGAGTTCTTCTACAGGGATCCTCTTACTCCATTTTATTGAGGCTTTGCTTTTGGTGCACAATAAATTTCTTCCACTTCTGCATTATATTCTGATAGATTAGAAGCTTTGAATGCTTCTGAGTGATACAGTCACTGTCCAAGTTTGAGTCTTTAGATGACATGGCTTTTTCTTAGTGCATTATCAAAGGTCCTCAATATTTAAAAAAAGGAAAATCCCCAAAAGGATTTCCTATCTTGGCTAAGGTTTTCATTGCAACTGTGTAGTGTGATTCCCAGGAAGATGTAAAAACCTCCCCTGATCCAGGTTCCAAGAAAGGCAGTTGTGAATGTAAAAAAATTGAGCTTTAATTAACTACTTGTAGAATTGTGAGGTTTAATTCAATTGCAATAATTCTTTCATTGTGATGATCAGTTAAACAAGGAAATTTCTATTATCGAAAAAAAAAATTTTTTTGGTGGTTAGTGGCTCCAAAATAAAATACAATTTACTCATGTGAAAATGAACAGTTGTATCACAGTTTGAATTCTTGCCCAGTCTATGTGTGACAAGTACAGACTCCCATTTGTGCAACACTTTCATGGAGAGCCTCTCGCACAGTACTATGAGGTAAGCATCTTGTGAGTACATTTTTAAAGATGTTGATTGGTAAAGCTGGTAGAATTGGATTAAGAGCTCTGATGTTGGTATTATCAAATAGGACCACTGTTTTGTGGTTGTTCAATTTTTTAAATATGAATGTGAATACAGACAGAATTGGACAATGTGAAGTCCATTTTGCTGTAACAAAATTTTAAGAAACAAACTGACTATCAGAGAAAGATTATCATAAAAAAAAATTTATTAACTGGCAGAAAAAGGTAGTGAAAACTCACTCACATGACACATGCTAGTAAATTACACAGGCATGACCTGTACACTTTCCAGTCACAAGCATAACCTGTACACAGTCCTATTGGTGCTCAAATTGGGTTGGTAATAACCAGTCATTTTCAATAATTTTATTACAGTTTTGATTAGCCAAGAAAGATGGGATTAGCTATTGCGTACTTGTGTATATGTTGTATAAATGCGGGAAAACTTCATGATTGCTCAGTACTTTGTCAGTTTGCTATAGTTTAGGTGCATGAACATGATGTAATTTATTCAATTTTTTTTTTTGCAGATAAGTGCCTTAGATGGTTTTTTCTTCAAAACATTTAAAGGAGTAATTGAAAAAAATTTAAGGAAAGAAAGGCCTGCAGACAGACATGTAAGATTTGTAAAAGTTAAGTTTGTCTCTAATGTATAAACATACTGTATTACCTTGAATAATGGCAGCCCTCCAAGTTGCAACCATTTTGCTTGCCATGGTGAGTGAAAAATATAATTATATGGTGACTAAAATTTCAACAAAAAAAGCCAATTGGCAACCATAGATTAAAAAAAAAAGAAATTAAAAGAAAAATGTGAAATATTTGTCAATCCATAGTTAATTTTTGTGTGTATTGCCACCTATAGGAGGCAAAGCCACATATTTTTATGTTGTCAAGATGTGTGAGTGAGTGTAACAATAGATTTCCCATCTTAACCAAATTTTGACCCAAGTTTTCACAGTGCTACTAATTGTCTTTTTCGGAGTGTCTTAAAAGTTTGACATTTGCACATGATACACAGTTGAGTTCTCTCCTTTGGTGATTTCTGGCTTAAAGCCACAAGCACATTATGTTTTCAGTTCTTGTAATGACACTATGGAAGACAGCAGAAGATGATAAACATCTCACAATCATTTCAGGATTGTGCACAATTTATAACAAAACTTTTTCTTGACTCAATAGGTGTGATCGGCGCATCGTAAAACTTAAAAGAAAAATATTTTTTCTTTGAACTTCCAAATCAATTTTACAGTTTAAATCAGCATAATTGTGTAGATCTTGCCACAACACTACACAAGACAATAAACATCGCAAAATAATTTCACAGTGGCATCAACAGACACAAAATTTTAAATCAAAACCTTCCTTGCAGAAATATCTCAATAGATGTGATCTGCATGTCATTAAAGCTTTGAGGATTTTCTTTTCCTAGAAAAGAGTGCATTTTACTGTTTGAATCAGCAACTTTCTCCTTACTGCAAAGGGAGCAAGCTGCAAAGCATGATACCTTAATGAGTTATTCAACAGAATGATGGAATGGTGGAATATCTTAAGTTGGGGAATGACAGAATATCCTATAACACGGAATACCTTTTTGCATGGAAAAAAAGTCTGAAAAGATGGAATTGCAATAAAATAAGAAAATTATTTACAATTAATGGTCAAAATTGAAATAAGCATAGGTAATCATTTTAAGAACCAAGAGGATTGGGGAACCATGAGGCTTTCAAGCCAGCCCCTTTAAATTATTATTATATTACTGTTGTCATCATTATTATTTTTTTATATTATTTTTGTTACCATTTAATTATTGGCTTAATGTCAATTAGTCAAAATATTCTTGAATCATCTTTCTCTTATGGAACTGGGTACTTACAAGTAAGTGGGATGCAGCAGGTTTTCTGTTTTGCATGTGAGACAAATCTTCTGCAATACTTCCTTCTAGCATCATTAAACAGCCTCCAGTTCTTTTCAGTGCTACAAAAATTGTGTTATACCAGTAGCCACATGCAGTTTTTGACTGTCTCTTTTTTTAAGAACAGGGTTTGGGCAGGGGGGGGGGAGGAAGGGGGTAAAGGCAATCGATTTTTTTGTTTTTTTGTTTTGTGACCATTTTACTATTAAAGGTGCCAAAAGGCTTTTTGAAAAAATGAGCCTGGACCATGAAGTGCCTGGATGCTTAATATTTAAAATTTTGGCTAAAAGGTTTGGAGCTCATCAGGAGGAGGTGCTTAATCAAGTGGGACATATATTATTGTAATCCTGTGCTAATTCTGCCGTAGTTGAAGCTTAAAAAGTTACGAATAAAGAGGCAGTAGAAACAGGTTTCTTTTGTATCTACTATTAAGAAAGTGAGGGAGGAGGGTGCTAATTTCAGAGGGGTGCTTGTTTAACTTTGTGGCCCAAGGGGTGTTGGGCACTTATTCAGAGGAGGGTGCTCATTTGAGGAAACATGGTACAGTCAAACCTGTATTGAGCAGCCTTAAGCAATCACCCTCTCCCAAAATCAAAGTAAGTATTTTTTCAAAAGTAATTCTGTACAGTAAGTGGTTGATTATGGCATACAGCAGTGTTGTTTATCATTTTTTTATAATACCTCTAATCTGTGGAACCTGTATTAAGCAGTCAAACTGTATTAAGTGGTCACCTGCTATTCCCTTTGGGTGACCACTCACCACAGGTTTGATTGTGTATACTTTTGAAAAAAAAAGCTCTAAATTATGTTCAAGGTCTTTTGATTAACCTTTTTTTTTCACTTCATTTTAACAGGATAACTACCTCTTCTTTAGTGGTAACTTAAAGCCCATCAAGAAGAAAATCATGGAGAATGAAATTGTGGGACATGCTTATCTTGTAGACTGTAATGGGTTAATAAGATGGAAGGCACATGCTAATCCTGCTGAGTTGGAAATCAATCACATGTTGGACTGTTCACAACTGTTACTTAAAGAGGCAAAAAGAACTCTTAACTCTGAAGACAAAGTTCCCTGGAATAGCAGATGATAAATGTTGTGATAATGATGCTAATTTTTATTCGATGTAAGGAGTAGCTTGGTTTTCAGCCCACATGTATGAACATAATTGAGAGCAAGATATAAATGAATTTTTTATTTTCCACAAGTTATGATACATTTTGTGTTGAACTTACTAAAAAAATGTAAATTTAAAGCCAAGCCATCTTGAATCAAATAAACTTATTATTCACAACTTTTAACTATTTAACCACAACTGCAAGCTCTAATTGATAAATATATAATTATTATTAGTTGTAGTAGTGGGTCAGGCAATACTGGGAACTAACTAGCTAACTAACTTTATATTAACAAACTATATTACATTACAAAAGCTGATGATGGAAAGACACAAATCTGCTGTTGGTGAAATGTTCAACCTCAAGCTCTTTGTAAGGGTTAAATAAATTCTTCTTAATTTTCTCCTCTCAGTAAACTATCTTCTACTGTGCCAGACCTGTAGATCTTTCCACAATAATTGCAACTGTGGATGTCTTTCATCACAGAGAAGAGAAAAGTTGAAGAATAAAGCAACCTGCTCCTTATTATTATAAAAACTGTTAGTTATCTGTCAGCTCGAAACATCAAGACACTTATCAAAACACATGTTTCCATAACAGCTGGGAAAGCACTGCAAAATACAATCAAAGTATAACATAAATATAGCGATTACTGAATTGAAGCACTGTGGTGTTAAACCTGTAAAAAGGCTTTCACCAGTAAATTTACTGTCTACACCCTAACATTAGTTTGTTTATTCTCCATACTGTTCTCTATACATTTCCTAAGGTGCTGACAAGGAGAATTTGTGGAACAATCAAGAGCCTCTTTAGCTAGTGATCATTCCTTTGTTCTCATGACCTTAATGTTTGATTCAGGGGGTGATATTGTAAGGAGAAATTAGCTGCTGGTCACTCTTAGGGGTTAAACCATTTTACAAGTACATGGATACTTTATTTTTCAATTTATTTTTCTGTAGGAAAACTTTGGAGATTTGAGCTGCCCAATGTTTGATATTTCAAATTCATAAATAATTTTCACAAACAACTAATCATGATATTTACTGTAATGTTTCACTCACCTACAGAATCCAAAAATGTACCAAAACTTATCACAGTCCCATTCCTCAAGAACAAACATGGAGAGAGAAATTGCTGCACTTGAATGAGCTGCAATGGCTTCACGTTTAGTTAAGAAGAATCTACAGCCACTAAAACAATCCCCCTGTTCCTAAGTCATGATTTGGCAGTTCCAGACCCAAACAATTGAACTCACCATAAAATTACCAGAGCTGTACATAAATACATCTTTACTGCAAAGAGGTTTTCAGAATTTCAATTTTTTAAGCTAATTGGTTCCAAAGACATTTTTTCCCCAGCCCCTAGTTTGTTGTTTGAAAGATAGGGTGGCAATGACTCATTTCTCAAACAACACCTAGTCATTGAGCCTCAGTAAATTGGAGAACAAGCCATCAACTAAAGAATAAGCAATTATTTCATCTTCCATCAAAAAGGATACAGAGAATCCCAGCAGTACCATTAAACATGGAGCAACCCCCAATAAATCCACCAAACTCTAAGCCAAGAAACACCAGAGTGAGAGACAAACCCACAATCAACCTGGAAAAAAAAAACATCAGCACAAAGTCTTGTTGATTAACCCTTTACACCCTGACATCTGTATGCATATTCTCCATACTGTTTGTTCTCAATCCTTAGGTGTTGACAAGGAGAATTTGTTTAACAATCAAGAGATTCTTTAGTTGGTGATCATTTATTACATTCTTGTGACCTTGATGAGTGATTCAGGTCTGATAATGTAAGGAGAACTTAGATGCTAGTCTGTTAGGGGTTAAAGGGTGAAGACTTGCTAATAGTCCATTTTACAGTTGCTTGCTTGGTCGTCAAGCGAGGCTGAGGGTGACCTTGTTGGGATACTTACATTGCTGCTGTTCAAATGTAAACTACTTTGTTATCAAATGAATAAAGGGGGTAATTTCTAAAGAAACTGTGGTGCTGTGTCGTTGGGAGAGTATAACAGGGTAATTTAGTGTTATCAACTGAGTTGACAATGTAAATTGGCCACCATAAAGAGTTTAAAAGCTGACGTTTTGAGTGTTAATTAGCCCTTTGTCACTCTGATGAAGGGCGAACGCTCGCAACATCAGCTTTCTAATTCTTTATGATGGCCAATTTACATTGTCAACTCAGTTGATAATACTACATTACTTTTTTATCATGCTAACTAGATACAGGTCTCTATCACAACAAGGTCACCTTCGGCCTCACTCCAAATCAAAGGCTTGACAACTAACTACACAACAGTAAAATGGCCTGTTGAACATTTGACAAATATATTTTTAAATTAGGATACCTCAATCGTTATTACAATACTACAAAAATCGAAATTAATTCTAAAAAGATTGGTTATAGTCTAATTTTGATGATGCCGATAAGAATTTAAGGATTTCAAGGAGATACACAATCCTAACTTTTACGGAGTATTTTGTCTAAAATGCAACTTTTTAAAGAATTTTACACACTTACTCTTTGTCCTTAGATGAAAATTCGCTTTCTGTATACTGAAGAGGCAGGCAAGCTTTAACATTTGCGTCCTGAAAGTGATTTGAAGAAATGATTCCGAGTCGAATCATCAAGAGCCACGGAATGATATAACCGTAAACTCGTGCAATAAACAACCAAACATGAACATTACAGAGCTTCTTCGATTTGGGTAAAAACTCACCTTGGATAGAAATATCACCACAGTAACTACAAAGTGTGCAATGAGACCTAAAAATCTGGATGCTACAAGACTTCCGATGAACATTTTGTAGGATTTAGGGGTCTCAAACAAAGCGATTACTTCATTGGAAAAGTTACCGCTTGTTGAAATGTCGGGTAGCCATATTGGATGCTAAGCGGCCTGGCCTTGGGTATATTTTTCTCGTATCCTGGTAACGCTATTGCTGGTTTTCAGTGTCACGCCATTCAAAATAGATCAAAATAAAAAATAAAAACCGTTCAATCGATTTAGTCTAGAATCTGGAAATAGAAAGAAGCTAGATATGTAAAGACTCTCGCCAAGATTCAGGTCACAGCAATTTTTCTTACGGAAGATATGAGGAGAAACGTTTTTCCCAAATTTATAGAGATTTGTATGGAGCCGCCATGCTGGTGCCCACCTAGATGGGCACCAACATGGCGGCCGGAAACCAGCAGAAACATCTGTCACTGAGTTTTGCTACAAAAGCGTGAATTTATCTCTCTAAGAACTCATAAACGTAACAATAATACTTTATTCTAATACAAGAACTGTTCAGATAGCTGAATTTCCCTAAATAAGTCACCTTTTAAACCAACATAACAGCTCTCTCGCTCGTCATGTAAAGGCCACGTCACGCAAAAGCTTAGAAATTCAAGAGTAGTCTATCACTAAACCAAGAACCCATTTGGAGTGAAAATTTGTCTGAATATTAGTTTTTAGCTGCTCTAATACATCATGAAAGTAAAATCTCAAGAGGATCAATAGTTCTGAAGTCTGAAATTTAGTGACGTCACGTGAAAACCAGCAATTGATGGGAAAGGGATAGGAAAGGTATCTCCAGCTCCTCTCCAACCTGATTGGGGACCGCCTTTGAGGGGAGGGTGGGGGGAATTAGGCAATCACATGGGGAGGGGATCAGTCGTCGCCAAAAGAGTACCAAGGGGGGGAGGGGGGGAAGAGTAACTCATTTATATTTAATTGATAGCCGACTGCCAATGAGAGCGGATACTAAGAATATCAAAGAGCCTTATGGGTGGATCAGGTTAATGTTACCAATCCATTACTGGCTCTATAACAAAACGGACAAATTCAAATAATACCCAACAATTAATAGGTTATCATTTGTTCTTGTCCTGACCATATTTCAAGCTTTCAATAGTATTCTCGACTTACCAGGGTAATGATGAAAATTTTCCTACCCCTTGTAAAAGAACTTACCTTGCAGTCAAGACCGAACTAAATCCAAAAGTATTCTGACCATGGAAAAGGAAAACCGTTCTTTTTGGATTTTTCCTCCTTCCTCTGTGTAAGCAAACTGGGGAAGTTGAAGGGTGGATGAGTAACTCTGGAGTTGACGACTTGTAGAAAGATACAGTTGATAAGAGAATTTTGAGCAAACATGTATTTACCTTGAGAGTTAATATTTCTTTATTTCACACATCAGTTAATGTTATAAATTTAATCTTTACTTTACTCATAATTGCTTGACAAATTACAACATGTTGGACGTACCCCTTATTTTACACGGTAGAGGCACAATTGTGGTTCCACACGCAATTTGCAAAACATTTAATTTACCCTTAAAAAGCAGACTACTCAACTGGCTGTACTCGTTCTAAATCGACTGTTTCTTCCTATGATATCAATATATGACTTGCGAAAGGTGACATAGCCGGGGTTGACTTTGTCAAATGGATTAAACAGCCTTGAAAATGGTGGAAGAGTTGCAAAATTATGATAAAAACACGACGACGTTTTTACCAAGCTAACAGCAAGACTAAGCTAACAGCAAGATCGACTCAGAAATTTTTAATCATCAGGTCAGATGAAACTTATTTCGTTTAAAATTGTGATAAAATTCCTCCACGGGAAGTAAGAGCCCCCTTAAATTTGCCTCACTTCCAAAGCGTGGCTTCATAGTTCAGTTAGTGGTGGTGCCCAATTAATAACTGGGAGGCCTGGGTTCCAATACCGTTGGAGTCTGATTTTTTTCAGGCTTCTTCCCTGCAATTTCTAAAACTTTCAGGTCATCTGCGTAGATAGTTACTTAACTTGATTAGAGTCTAACAAAATTACGCTGCCGTAAAACATTTGCGATGCTTTTCAAATCCTTTCATTGTCTTGCGTTCACACGTCATCATTAAAGTGAGGAAACGGTTTACTTCGGCAAATACACTGGGTGACGTAACTTGAGATTCTTCAAGCAGCCGAAGACTGAAAAACTCCATGTAGAACAACCTGCTCTTGATAATTCTTCAGAAAAAAATTAAAGAATAGCAATTGCTCTGGAATTCGGTGATGGGGTTGATCTCGACAATACAATTTTCATTTTTCTGTTACAAATTGGCAGATTTTGATGGGAATTGCATTGCGTTGTTCACGGAACAGTCAAGTTAAGCGTGGGATGCTAGTTTATGTCGTATATCGGGCACACCGGCTGGTTGCTTAAAATTTCTGTTTCCTGAGTTTAGGCACCAACGCCAAATCTTTGGTGTAAATGTTCTGAAAAATGTATCTTAATTCGATCATCCGAGACTTTGTTAAACGAAGTATCAGACCTTAGTTATCTTAGACTTCAGTTCAGTTCATGAGAAGTTTTCCAGTTCTTAACCCTCTGATTAAAGTTAAATCACATCCTCAATTTAAGATAAAACTGCCCCTGAACTTGTGGTTCGGAGTCGAAAGCGTCTTTCGGCCAAACTGACACTAGTCTTGCATTTTTGTCTTGTGTAAAGTTCCTGTTTTCCAACCATCAGCGAAGCGTGTTCTATGTTCCACGAGTCTTGTTTGGCGGGAATTGACCGCGAAGTTGTTGAGGCCTGACGCATTGTCTCTTGCCATATTTCTTGTCGATAAATCGGTGGAAGATGAGAACGAACTTTGTTGTCCCCTGGAGGATTCTCACTATCTGCGTCACCAATACGAAGAGGCAGTACTTGTAAAATCTCGTCCACCTTCAAGTCATTCCTTGCTGCAGGTGTTTCTTTGTCAGAGACGACGCTGATATTCTCGATTTCACCATTAAATTCAGAGCTGGGCGATCTTCTCCCATTGAAAACTTCCCCTGGGTCAAACAGTGGAAACCCCACAGAGCGTGGAATCCATTCTGAAGATCTCGAGTCGCGGCGAAAATCCCGGGGAAATTCTAATCCTCTCTCGTCTGGTTTGAAGGGAACCAGCTTTGAAACTGGAACAGAAAGAGAAACCCTAGGCTTTCTCAATTGCTCTTGTTTCCTCAGGACATCTGTAGGATTTTTTTTGGCCTTTTGCGCCGAAGGTTTAACTTTCTCTCGCTCAGCGCTGCCTTCTTCGATTTCCTCAGAATCTTTGTCGGGCAGATCGTCCAAATTGATATTTCTTTTCTTCACTTCTTGAATTGCATCAGCGTAAAGCTTTTGCATGCGTTTGTCACTCCGAGATGCTTTTCGTTTTCCTTTTGTCTTCTTTTTTCCCATAACTATCCAAAAATTCCTTTTAAAAATGAAAATATAACAAATGAAAATATGAGGAAAGCTGTTAACCGCTAATGAAGCTAATAATACAAATTCAAATAATAGGACCAATTTTGCTTAAAAAATGTATCATTATTCAGAACCCCACTTAAAAGTTAACAGATTTTGCACTGATACATTTAGAAATCACAATATCTCTGAACTTCGCAGATTATTAGACTTACCTCACACACGAACTTAATAAGATTTCTTCGCAAAATGCGTGAAAAGCGGGTTTAAGTACAGCCAATCTTTGTTTAAATTCGTGTGTGTGTCCTCCCGTTGTAATTTCCGATAAACATCACAAAAAAATCTATTTCTGAAACTGCAGATGTTGTCTATTGACATTAAAGATGAATAGCGACCCGCGCATGCGCTCTGCATGACGCCTGCATTCAAGCTTTCATTTGCAACATAATTAGTTATTATGTAATTCTGTGTTTTCACCGCAGATTTGTCACGAAAGCGATCACGATTTTTTCAGACAAATAAGCGACTAGCAACTCATAATCCAAGAGATTAAAATCTTCCCGAGATATGAATGAAATATTATCAGCTTCTTTGAAAATAAGGAAAGAAAAATCGTTGATTTTTTTTTAGCTGATGAAAACAGCAATGGGTGGTTCCAAATGATTAAGTCGTTAAATTAAAAAACCTGCTCTGTTTTTTAAGGCATTGTTTGGCGATAAATTTGGGCGGAGTTTACATTCAAATACATAGATATTCAGGGTAAACGTCATCCTGTTTAGAAGTGCTAAAAATACATCAAAGAAAACGTTTACTGTATCTAAAACAAACAATACAAAGCAATATGCATGCTGCATAAAAATAGTTTTAAGAAATAACCGTGAATACGAAGACTGAAGAAAGGAAAAATTCGACAAAGGAAAATTTGATCAGCTTTCATTCGAAAAATTAATTTTTGTGTGTATTAACATAACAGAACTAATTTATTCAAGAAAATTTAGTTATGTAATAATACAGCTCTATCTAAGGTATTTATTGCCATGAATTATTTCATTTATTTCTTTCTTGATTCAGTTCTTGATTCACATTTATTTTTTCAAGTATTTTTCAACATCAGCTAATTATTTATCACTGAACCCTCCCATCCCAACAGTTCATTGCTCTCCCTCTTCCCCATTCTCCCTCTTCCCCACTCTCCCTCTCCCTCACCCTCCCTCTCCCCCACCCTCTCCCTCCCCCACTCTCCCTCTTTCCACTCTCCTTTCCATCCCAGCTTCTTGTTTCATTTTCTGCAGGGGCGTCCGAACCAACATAACGAAATACCGCAAGGATCTATTTTCGAGGGCGCTTAAAAAGATTCTTTTAAAGAACTCGCAGAGGTTAAACGCGTTTGCACAATTTCAAATGAATAAAGGGGGTAAGTTTCTAAAGAAACTCCGATGCTGTGTCGTTGGGAAAATAAAACAGGGTAATTTGGTATAATCAACTGATAGCTAGCCCTTTGTTTGAATCTGACAAAGGGCTAACGCTCGAAACGTCAGCTTTGAAACTCTGAACGGTGACTAATTTTCGATATCAACTCGGTTGATAATACCAAATTACGTTGCAAAATTTCAATTTATGTTGATTCAGATGCTTTTTTTAAGAGTTGCGCGGGAAACAGCATTCTTTAGTCACCAAATATAATTTGAACATTATACTGGGGAACTTCTTTCCCAGTCCCCTCTTAACCTCCTCCCCTCCCCTCCCAAGTAAGAATTTCTCGTCCAATTTCAATTCCAGTTGTAATATCTGTTAAAGTTTTGAGGAGCCAACGGATGGTTCGAAATGAGATGGATTAAACCAGATTTAACTAACAACACAACAAACACGTTTATTACTTTTTGCAACTTTTGTCCCCAAAACTTATCTTGTTCTCTTCCCGCTTCCATTTCCTTACAATCCAACGCAGTGCTGGATCAATAGAATATTTCTACTGACCATAAAATCCTGTATTTGAAAGATTAAATTTTGCGATATCAACATGAACATGTAATAAAGTGGTAACTGAACTTCATGTGGTGCAATTTTGGTCTTCAATCATACTTGTAATTGCAATTCGAAGTTACGCTACGTATTTGTTCGAATCTGCAAATTACACTTCACTCAGTTGAATTACAATTATGAATGCGCTTAAAATGTCTCATGCAGTTCTTGAAACACAAATAATTTCGTGAAGATGCCCTTTCGGTAATAATTTTTTTCTTTCATATTCTATGAAAGGATACTTCATGTTTTCAAAAATTTTGCCACCAATCATTTTCTGAGAATAATATTGGTACTTTCTACTAGATAATTTCTCAAATTTTATTCAAAATGTGATTCGCAATTTTGTCATTGTATAATATGTTATAAACATTTTGTCATTCATTTTCAATAAAATGATACTTCATGTTTTTAAAAATTTTGCCCCAAACCATTTAATTTGTTAATTTCTCAAATTTTATTCAAAATGTGATTCACCATTTTTGCTCAAAGAAAATGGCAATTAACCAATTGTTCATTGGCGAGCTGTGACACAAGTTCAATGAACGGAACTGACAGAACTAATTTTATCATGAAAATTAAGAAAAATTTCACAAAGCCCTGAAACAGACAGGAAATCAACATGATAACAAGACGCTAAATGAAATATGCAATTATTTTTCGAGAAACACATTAATTTCTCCCCTTGGTCAATACAGGGTGATAATCAATTTTACTGCAAAATTTAAGTATGTCCTTGTTATTCAGCTTCATGTCTCTGAACCGTTCAAGGTAATTATTGGTAAGGTAAATAGTGGCCTTTGAATAATGCGTCTATCAAGGAAATCTTATTAAAGTTTTATTTGCTTTTCCTGATCCAAATAAGTTTGACATAAACTAAAAGTTGTTTTCCTCCAATCAAAACAGCTTATTCGTTAGTTTTATTAATTACATTGATTACTGATAACAAACCTAGATGAAATCGTCACTGGCTAAAACCTGCTCTCTTAGAAAAATTATTACTTGTTGTCAAAAGTGTAAATTCTTATTGATCTCTCTGGTCTTTGTTAAATTACTATTTTTATAACGAGGCTATTGTTTTTGGGCAGATCTTGAACAAAGGCTTCGGAGCGAAGGGATATTAATCTCTCTCGCACGTAGTAGAAAAGTATATTAAGAAAATGTGCCTATACAATCAACACGAGATATGATTGAAATGCATCTTAACAGCACAGACGAAGTAAAATTTCCTCTAATTCCTCATATTGCACCTATTTGGCCGCCAGACAAGAGAATTGAATATGTCAAAGCCCGGAAAGCTGCTTTTCGGCGTTTCGTCAGGAAAAAAATGATCCTGTTTAGGTTTCTGCAAAGTATGAATTCGGGCATGAAGGATTTGTTTTCGGAAGTGGTTGACAGTGGGGATGACGCTAATAGTATTGTGAATCTCACCAGAAATTTTCAAGAAGAGCAACGCAAGAAACACGAGCGGATTTTCGAGATTCAAACAGAAGCTTATCACAGAGCGGAGAGAAAGAAAACTGCTTGGGGAAAATCCAGATTTGACGAGGACAGATGTAAGGTTCCCAGACAGAGCCTCACAGTTACGAGTAAAGGGAATTTAAATGATTCATCGAGCCAAACCTTTATAAAAGACTTTCAGTTGACCGAGGGGCATCAAAAGATTTCAAAAATTGAGGGAAATACTTCTGTGATATTCCAACGGGAGACAGCGCTATTACTTAGACGCAACAAAACGGATGAGGTGGTTTTTCCACAAAAAAATGGTGTGATGAGTTTTCCGCAAATGGATAGTAGCAACAAAGATGCAAAACACCCAGTCAGCGACCCTCGCTTTCAACGTTTATTGACTTGTCTTGTTCCTCCAGCAAACAAAGGAGAATTCGACCACGAAAACATGAATTCAAGGAGGGCAAAGAAGAACAGAGGATATAAAAGAGACAAGGTGCAGAGCAGATTAAGTGGGAAGACGTTACATGAGAAATGGCTTGCAACCATGACGCCTTAGCATCTTAGGAAGAATGTTTCGTAGGAGTTAAGCACTAGCAATTAACTCTTGTTTTCATGGGAAGAAATTCGTCTCTAAGCTGCGGGAAATGCAACCAATAAGTCCAAAACTTGATGGAAATAAAATGATTTCATTGTTTGACATTGACGTTGTGTTTATCAACATAATGTGATGAAAACAGCAAAAGTCGTTCATTTATTGAATGACATATAAAATGGGAATAAATGGTTCTCCTGTTTGGTAAACTGGAGCGCTGGTCCCAAGGTCCGTTTTAATTTCCTTTTACGCGGCTGTTTTTTGTCGCACCACCTTATTTGGGGCCTGGGAACCTGGGTTCGAAGTCATATCAGCAAAACCGCAGTTGCGGGTATGGAACCTGGGAACAACGGGCCTTTTGAGATGGGAACAGAACTGACTTTTCAATGAAATCCTGGGGTAGTGTTTGCCTTACTTGAAATTTGGAGTCAGGAACAAGCTCTTCACTTCTTACCTGTTCTTTAGATTTTTAAACATGAAAGCTGACCTACGTATACATGCATCCATAGAAGAGAATATAAACAGTGTACAATCTCTTTATGATTATTACCCAGTCGCTCAGCTTTTAGGACCCAGTTTTAATAAGAACATTGAGATGTACAAGCATATGGTAAAGTGAGGCTGTAATTGTACGAACCATGTTCCTGTGTTATGAAACTTAAAATTATAAAAAGATTCCGACCAAAAAGTTCCTCCTCAGGCAAAACTTGTGATCGCCAGGAAGCTATTGACAAAATGAAAACTCTTTTTCAATGAATCCATGCAAATTATTACAAACTTCTGCTATCGGTCTCAGCACAGTGACCACGTCTGATCGCCAATACGGATGACAAAGGTGTACTCTCGATGGCAAAAACCTTGACACCTGAAAAACGTCAGCAATGAACGATGAAAGCCTACGGTTTTGTGGGTTTATATGTGCATAATTATATCAATTAGTTGCACATGGTAAATAATGGAAGCCATCCACGCTTTTGTGAAGAAAATAATCATCAAAAACAAAAGTTTTCCATGAATAATGGAAAAGCAAAGCATTGATTATTTAATGGTACTAATATTTCCCATAAAGCCGTTGGGTCACTTCATTTAAGGATCATGAGCTATTTAGGTGTCAATGTTTGTGCAATCGAGTGTTCCTATCAGCTCTACTACATGTACGTGTTACCTCTAGATGCAAAATCAATATTTGCTTATAATTGACAGCCGTTGAAACGTGTTGTATTTACCGGGATTAAAAGATTATAATCTATTGAAAGAAAGATTAACGAATAACAAAACGTGCAGGCATTGACGCTGTGATTTGACGTCAACCGATTTCAAGCTCTCAGAATAAATAGAAAGTTGCATCGTTACTGATTGGGCAGTAAAAGCTTCAAATTTCGCTAAGACTGAACCTTTTCATGTGCGAGAATCTTTAACTATGGAAAAGTTATCAAGTTCTATGCCGGTGGTGCACGTTTCACCAATTTGGCCAAAGCGAAGGAAACCACGATCTTTTAAAAAGTCCACGAACCTTTTCATGAAAATACTCCGATTCATACACCCTGATTCATCAAACTGTGCCGTAGAAGTCACTGAACTAACTGACGAAAGCGTAGAGAAGGAGAAAAGGTTAAAGCGAGTCAAGAGCTTTGCAAAATGTAAAGAAGATTATTGTGTCAAGGAAAGAAATCGAAATGGGTGGACAATGTACCGAGAGAAAATGAAATATTTACACTATTTGGAAAGAATGGAAAATGGATCTGGAAAACGCAGCAAAGCTGCCATAACAGTACCGACGTTTGCACAACTTTTACCAGATAATAGAGTAAACGAAAGGAGGCAAAAAGGATTCTTGAATTCAGAACAAACTGGTCTTGAAAAGTTCGCCCCAGGTGTGCATCTAAACACACCCAAGGCAACTGCAACGAAAAGTCAGATTTCATTCATGGATGCAAAGCTTGATCCAAGATTTCAAAACTTGATGCGGTCTCTTACACCAATAGACTGTTAGCTACCGTTAGTTCAAACAAATTTAGGAACATCTGATAAATTGTAGTGATTCAGCGTGAAGAACTCAAGCAGAAAGCAAAACAGGAATTGCTTTCCAACTGCTAATAAGGAAGAGTATGTAATACGGTGCTATCAAATGACAGGCATATAAAATGATCATGGGCTCATCAATATTAGTATACCCGTTCCTCATGGTCAGCGGAGCATGTTACTGTAGACTCCCTGTCTATGTACCTGGATGTGTAATTACTCTAACATAGCAAAATTAACGCTTGTAGTACAAGTAAGGTAATGAAAAGGAAATAAAAGCGCCAAAGTTGACACAAATTGGTTTGGAAATTGCTTTTCAATTAAAAAAATAACACAAAAGCGGCGATAAATTTTTGATGGGAGAAAAATTAACACCACTAAGACAGAGGAACAGAATTTGTTGAGACAGTAGGACCAAATTTATTATAACTCATGATGTAAAATTCAGATACAACGTTTGTATAATTTGTGTAATTTTCTCTAATCGTAAGGTTAAAAGGCTGGAATCTTTCCGCTTTTTACGTTGTTTATCCTTCGCGGATCTCCTTACTGATTAATTAATGCTTTTTGCAATTGTTTCTTAGCTGTCAAAACTGTCCGAGGCACAATGTATCGAGAATTCAGGTGGAACAAGATGGAAATTTAGGTCGTGTAAATTAGTGATCCAATTAATTAGTGACGCGCAAATAGAAAGCAAAAAAAAAAAATAAACGCGATTTAAAATAGGCGTAAATTTTCCAATGACGTTGATCTGATAAAACATATATTTTAAAAAAAAACATAGTTACGTGTTTCAAATTTACAATTTCACGAGCACTTTCGTTCGTGGCGTTTTTGTCCAACTTGATAAAATCAACGTTGTTATCAGTTACATGTTTCAATTTTCAACGTACAAAAAATTCAATTAAAGTGTTTATAACAAATGATCATTCCATAACTTAAAACACACACTGTAAACCTTCTCCTTGTTAAAATATGCGATGAAAATCCGATATTATATTTTTCACTCCATCGGTGGACTCCTTCCCCTGTTCATTATTTTAAACACCAGGCGACAAGTATCTTTAAGGCAGATATCTTTAAAACAAATCTCGCCGCATTTATCAGAAAAGTTTTCCTTTCTTGTCGTGGCTTTCCTTTCTGCCTGAATCCCTCTTCTTAGAGGCACAAGTTGCTCAATAAGGCGGATAAATCTCTGGTCTAATAACGGGTTCTTTTCATACAAATATGAACGACTCGTTTGGTTGGCAGACACAGGACTGGTGCTCGATTCACCCTCAGAGGAAACGGCTTCCTTGACCACAACGCCCTTTTTAGCGGCTTGCGTTTCACAATTAGAATCATATTCCGCATCAGAATAATCACCACAGACGTCTTCAGCAAGCTGATAATCAGCTGTGAAACCATTCCTCTTAGTAGTGTTGTAAGCATCAACCAAGTATCGAAAATTTGTTAGTCCTGAAGTGACAACATTCTGGTTTTCATCACGCAAATTTTCGCTCTCAACTTCAAAGACGTCGTTACGTTTATCCTGCAAATTCGCCGGCGTTTCTTCGTCTGTGGAGGCCATAAGAGATTGTTTCAAATCGAAAGTCTAATTTTTAGACAGATTTGACAGTTAAGAGAAGTTTTCTCTTTGTGGTCAGTTCGCGAACAATCATTTGATAGACCATTCACCGACTGAAAACGTTTCCATGATAACCAACAACCTCTGGCGGATAAAACAAAAATGTTTCAAGCACGAGAGAGATTTAAACCTTTAGAAAACCACCCATAGACTGACGATTACGAAGTTTCGAGTCTTGTTGCATATGAAATTTCCGGCTTAGGACTGTTTCCTTGAAAATTTCCTAATCGCAAGCCTCGCAGTCTTTTCCTTTTAAAATTCGTACAATATTGTATTTCTATCCATTATTCTTTTTGAGTTTTATTATTCATCCCTATTTTCGACAGAAAAGTGTTTAGATTTAAAATTAAAATAAGCTTAAGCCTTAAACCATGTGATTGCAATCGCTGTCATGTGAATTCTAACGAGGAAACTTTTCGTTGTTTAGTTACAAAATCATTTAAAATAATGTCTTTATATTTTTTTATTTGGAAAAAAAATATTCATTTTAAATCCAATTTTAAATACACTGCTAAAAGCGTGAAATGCATTTTCGCCCTCGAACTATCGGACTTGAAATTGTTTGAAAATTCATCTGCGAGAGTTAAGGTTTTCATTGAGACAAATCATCCATCACCATTTGAAAACGTCGCCTCCATGTTAAATTCATTTCATATTTGTTAACTAACAATTTGAGCACACGGGCGTGTGATTTCAAACTAAGCTAATCTGGTTTTATGTTTTGACTCTGTTTAAGTTTTCACTTACGTGAGTTACATCGAGTTACCTATTACTTTACAGTAAAACAAGTATATTTGTAAACTCTTCCGCTCGTAAAATTTTCTGCACAAGTAAGTTTAATGTAATTCAGACAGGCCCGGTTTCCATAGTAACCCGCTCAACAAATCAACAATGCAAATAGCATCACCCACGTGGGATTAGTGGGTAATTCAATCAACGCACGATGAACAATTGCGGTCTTAAATTTCCACTTCTATGCGGTTCTTAGGGAAAGTATAGACAATACCGTGCAAACAACTAATATTCCACTTAAAAAACATGACACCAAATTGATGTTATCCACTGCACGAATGCATAGTGGCATCCTAGAATGAGATGATTGGAAGATTTGGATGGCAACTCGGAAGTGAAGACTTTAACCGAAGTGATTGAGTTACTTCAAAGACGTAATTCAAATCTCGTCAGTACGTAATTGTTAACGAAACAGCCAGAAATCTATTGTACAAAGAACTGGTATACTGATTACATCAGAGAGTTCCAAGGCTTTTTTGCAAAGTTCGTAGGCGGATAAACGCGTCATAAAAAGACTATACTTCTTCGTATTTTACACTGATTTCAAGAGTTGAACCAGAAAACTTCCACTGAACGCGTATTAAGTGAAAATCTCAATAACGTACGTGTTGTACTGCGGTTAGGTTACGGCGCACGCTGAGCATTGTTGCAAGGAAGAGGCCGCTAAACCAAAGCTTGAAAACAGATAAATTAAGAAGTACTTGGATATCTGTATTTCTAAAAGAGCTATGCGAAACAAGAAGAGGAGCGACCGTCTTTGTGATTGCATCCCTTACGGGAAAATTGAACCGAAAAAACTGGAACGTCTTCAAAAGAATCGTCAGAGACAAATGTGTTCCTGGCGAGACATTGCGCCATTTAGTGAACGCCAGGAAGAAGAGGTCACAGTACGTCCAAATAACTCAGTCAACCGACTCCTTTTCCCGCCGATTTATGAACTTCCGAGCATAACAAACCCCGAAGCTTACAGGGGTATGTGCAACACTGGGAACAGAGAGCTGACATCGAATGAGGTACATATGACTAACAGTGGCCGTGCTGTTGAAGACTATAAGGGCAAACCATATCGCCATGATTGCTCTTTAGCGCTTAAAAGCCACAGACAAGAGGAGGAGGAGGACAGATTCGCTAATAGTGAGTGCAGCGAGCTTGGAAACAAGACGGATTCACAGTCTCTAAAATTAAAGTTACCCAAGTTGACAGGTTTAAACGTTGTAAATCAAAGACTTTCGTAATATATAGAAAGAACTCAGAAGAACTCGGAGCTTGACGATGATAACACAGATGAACTGATCATGGAAACAGGCTTCAGTATTTGATGTACACAAGACGTAGGCGATTAAAGAAAAGAATGTGATCAAACAACTTTTCGCCTTGGAGTCTCCAAGAATCAAAGCGAAAATTTGAAGTGTTCAAGAATTTTCAGTAAAGGATCTTCAAGAGTAAAATACGCAGCTACAGTTGTGTTCCAAGTCGTATAACTCTGGAAAGATGGATCAACAATTAAAGTTATTTGCTTGAAGAGTGAGACTCAAATCATCTGATATCACACGGCAGCAGTAAATTGTGTAAAGAAAAGGGAAATGCCTCTATTTTCTTTTGAAATTGCTTTAACTGACTTATATCTGAAACTTTTGTGATAGCAAACTATTTTTTCTTCGACGGAGGTTATATTACATGAAGTGGAAACTTTGATCTTTCTCCACAAGGAAACACATATTTACATTTTACAGAGCATTTCAAACTAGCTCGACTTGATCATGGCAATAAGGGAATCAGTTTAAGTTATCAAAATATGAGGAAAAGTGTGGACCTTTTATAATCTTAGAAGCCTCTTTCTGAAACCTCTTCTGTCATGTAAGCATGATAAAATTTTTTTGATTTAGAGTATCAACGCTTTTAACTGGACTGCCTTCAACAAAGATGTTACCTCAGAGAGTATAAAGCTTCTCTGTTGAAACATCACTGAGTCTTTAATTTGCATCATCAATGCTTTTCAAGTTGGTCTCGCCAGGTTCAATTATATTTACTTTATTTACTGACCCTTTCTGTGGTAACCGATGTTGTTGGTATAGAGAATCAGTTCGTCGCGATTTATTAAGACAATGGGAGTTACCGCCAATGAGAGAAACGGGACTTGTGCCTCAAAAAGTAAATGTGAAGGGTCTTATAACAAAACTGAGCAGCATTTGTCGGTTAAAACTCTGTGAATATGTTGACCCAGTACTAGTACAAAAGAATAAGTATTTGGTCCCTGATATTCCCAACGGGTTCAACGTAAAAACGTGATTGACCGACTGTGCAAATACTTCTGAACTGCTTAGACAAAAGAAAGCATTGAAAAGCACTTGAGTTTCTTTAATCTTAGCTTTTTGTCATGCAAAAGTTAGAAACCTTCATGGCATTGTCAAGTTACTGGATTCGTGTACACAGTTTTCCACCCTGAAAACCCTCCCTTTTTATAGACTCGGAATGTTTATTAAATCTTCACTAAGCAGTGTTGTTTGTCAGTTCTTTACATCAAATAAAGGTTATGGTGACCGTCATTGTTTCTTAAAAGACTGGATTTCTGTTCTTATCAATAGTGTCAAGAATTATTTTATTTTCTCTTACGCTTTGTTGAAAAATCAATACATAGTACTTTAGTTAACTGTTAAGGAATTCCATAAATATGGCGAAGAAAAAAGTCTGGCTTATCGTAAGACCAATTATTAAAAATTATGAAAAAGCGTTGTGTTTATTCTTTCCTTTACGGCTTCTAATATCCTCTTCGTTTACCTATTATTTAAATCAATTGTAAACGATGTCTCTTTTAACTTGCATGTTTACACTTTACAGCTACTTTACACCGAAATCCAGCCATTTTCTGTTTCCGTTTTGGCAGCTAAGTTTGTGACTCTCTTCCAAGCCGAAAGGAAGGTAAAAGCAGGTCGTTTAGCGATTAGGGAAATCAGAAAAATTTATTGAAGACAGCAAAGCTTTATGTCTATCATATGGGAGAACTTTCTAGGCATTGTAATCGTTATGATATATATTATACCTGAAAACCAATTAGTATTTGGATATGCCTAATTGTCAATGATCTTTTCTCGACCAATGAAATGCACTGCCGGACTAAGGAAATATCTTGTGAAAAACAAAACAAACGTCATTGACTTTTAACTACAGGATTACTTTAATGAACAATCGAGAAACAACACCGCTGTCTTTTAGCGCGAGATGTGGGCAGCACTGAACAAAACTACTGTCATGTAATCATGGATTCAGGCATGAAGTTTGGCCACAAGCAACAATCAGACGCCATAAGTAAAGGAAAGATCGATGAGAAAATACCCTATAGACTTTGTTTTAAGGACAGGGTGAAAGACACTGATACATCGCTGATAGAAGAAAAGAGAACGTCCCAAAGGTTTTATGATCAGGAAAGATTGCAATCGCGCAAGGTTTTACGATTGACAAGGGTGCATTCTGTCGAAGCAGTCCAAACAAACTCATTTCACGGTGACGATAGCACGATAAGATTGACTAAAAGGATTCCCTCTGTGGAAAGACGGACCATACCGCCTAGCTTATATCTGCCTTATCTATTAGTCAACAAGGATGCTTATATCACTCCCGTATTCAATATGGCGACTTACAAAGGGTTTCGAACTCAGGAAGAAAGAAAGAGGTTGTCTTTGTCCAAACAGTTGGAGCGTTATCAAAAGAATTTGCTTCACGAAGGAAACTCGGAAGAGAAATGCTCTGCAGTTCCTGCAGTGATAGATATCTCAAAACCTGCCAAGTTAAATGTAAGATAAACAATAAGTCGAAGCAAAGATAATTGAGACAGCGTACGCAGTGAGTTTATCACGGGTACCTTGGTGGTAAATCATTGTATGGCTACCATCACTGCAGTAAATTAAATGCAACTTTGCTTGAACTGCAATGGAATCAATTTTACATCAGTCATCAAATCTTTAAAAAATTTATCTTAAACTTCATATTTTCATTTTTGGATCAATTTGGACGTAAGAATAATGTAATCATTGTCATAATTTCGTGTTTATATTATTTATCAGTGTGTATGACCAATGTATGCCGGTGTCATCAATCCTAGGCCTCAACAAGAGATTATAAACTGGCCTTAAAGAATAAACTTTCGATATTTACAAAGAGACAAGCTATTTGTTACCCGAAGAACTTGGCTAAATCTTAATCATGACAAAGGCCAAAAACAGCGGGAGATTGGAGGCCCCTTCCAAGGTCGAACCTTCCTCCCCCAAAATAACACATAAAATTACCCACACGTTTTGATCCGGAAACTCCGTCGTTAGCGCAGTATAAATTGTTGTTTCCTCAGGATCGCACTTGTCTAAGTGATACGATCTAGTAGGAGGATTTATTTCAGTTCCCTTTTGTCATTTCGCACACACTGGACGGCGTTAAAAATTACAAAGGGATTCGGAGTTGCTTGTTTCAACAAACTTTGCAAAGGAGATTTTGGAAATATCCGTAAGGGTAAGCGTTCAGCTATATGCCTTTATATGCCCTTCATTAAGATAAAATCTCCAACGTTCCAAAACGCTCCGCTGCCTCTGCTATCCTGTCTGTGGAGCACAGTGAGCTGTTAACTGGGAAAGCGTCAGCCCTTCGCCAGAGCGTTAGCCCTGTAGCCCTGACGAAGGGCCAACGCTCGCAACGTCAGCCTTTAAACCCTGGGGCCAATTTACGTTATCAACTCAGTTGATAACACTTATTTACTCGATTTTGTTTATCACTCGTATGATTGTATTCCAATCGTTCCTTTTACCATTATTAATCAAAACTATAACAAAATTCTGGAACGTAACTGAATATCACCAGCCCGATTTAATTTAGACACTAATAGGGCAGATTACGCGTTATGTTTGTAATTGGACGGTGCAATAGGGCAGTTAAAGGGACAGTTAACACGTCATACCTGTGTAAGTGGAGAGAACGCGTCATTTGCGCGCGCTTTTGTCTCGCATTCCGCCGAGTTAACATGACTGCTTCGCGGTCATCCGATTTTGTTAATCACTTGCATGATTACAGACCCAATTGGTCTCTCTTTTCTGCTCAGCTCACTATATGTTGAAAGATGATGCGGAAAGGCTAATTCAGGCGCAAAACACTTCCTTTTCACGACATATGTTCACTTCCTTCGAGAATCAACCGCCTAAGCAAAACGGCGCGGGTTCAGTTAATACGCGTTGCGAGCCTATCAAAAGTACAAAGCTTTCGTCGCAAATCTTTTCCTCCAAAAGAAGCGTAAAAAAAACTTTTGATTGTTGAGATATGATAAAAGCTAACTACGCATTTTCAAAAGACAAATAAAACACAACTGTTTTCCCAATAAACAACATCAGTGAAGCGTTTGGGTTAAATTTCACCGAAAACAAATTAGTGGCCGCACAGGTTCCTGATCAAATTTCCTTGCGCTAAAAGAAATATGTTACAGTAACCATATTTTGGATCCAATATGTAAACCGTCCACTACAACTTCGCAGTATTTTTTTTTAGTTTAAAACCTTTGATATTTGAATTTTTTATTGTCATCATCTTTCCTTCCTCGTTGATCCTGATAACTTTAAGAAAAACAATTAGTTCAAATCTCCATCTGATTTATATAAGAAGGAAAAAAAAAAAAAAAGGAAAAAAGAAATACGATGCATTTTCAATGTTAAAAACGGATGTCCTTTCATTTCTTTGGCGCCCTTGCAGACTATCCAAACAAACCGTGAACGACTTCCTCGTAAAACAAACACTGAGGCTAAATCCTTGAATAATTGATTTTCCAGCCGCGTGTAACTTTAAGCAAAATAGAGCAGATATGTCGTGTTAATATTCAATTGACTCAATAAAAAACCATTTTGGCTGTAGAAATCGTCGTCATCATTTCCAGTGCCTCGTGGACACGGTGTTTTTGCGAGCTACAACATGATCAGCTTGTTCCAACTTGGATACCTTTCTTTTTCGCGCTTTCATGACGACATGATAAAGTTTAGGATCTCTAGGATCTAAATGAGGAATCTTAGAAGGATCAGGAATCTTAAGAATCTTTTCATAAACTGTTCCTCTAAACGTTCTTTTTCGAAAATCGTCTTGTTCATTATCCTGAGCGTAGTTTGATGGCAAACACGGTTCTCGTTGATCTTGATAAGGCTTTTTTCTTGGATATTTAACTCCCTCTCTGTTATATTCCTGGTTTTCTGCCAGCAAAAATGGAAAACAACTTCCTGCAAAAGCATTTTTGCGTTGACGATTCAATCGAGTAATCAAAGCTTCCCTATCAACCTCGACTTCAATATCCCGAATCGGGGGCAACGGTGCTCCGATGGAAGTCTTTTTGTTGTTCTTCGAAATAATCTGATATGTCTTCTCTTTGCTTCGTGCCGTCATATCCAGAAGCATTTCTCTTTTCAGTTCACAGATGGACTCCTTTCGACCTTTCAACCACATGGGTGTCTGATCAATAACAGTTGTGGTCTTTCGTTGTCTTTGAGTCTTTCCTTGTACGGTTGATTTCCTTTCTCCCCCATCTTCCTGTGCAATGGAAGGAAGAAACTTTGACAAAGATTTCCTTTGAACTTCCGTGAATTCTCTCTGTCTTTTATTGCATTCATTCGCTACTCTTCTCTGTTCTCTTGATATAACATTTAAGTCAATCTCCAGTGATTTCAGCAGACCTGCATTTGTGTGACTCGCATGTTTCAAGCCGTATTTGTTAGCTATTTTGATTTTGCTTCGCTTAGGAAGGTTGCGGATCCTGGTGAGCTCCTGAGTAAGTCTATCGTCTGCATTTCTTCTTGCGGCTTCAAAGTCCATAACTTTTAGTAATTAAATAAGACGTGTAAATAACCCGATTTGTGTTTGTATCCTCGATAATCCGTGGTATTTTAATCGCCTCTTTGCAGACCTCCGTGCAGCAGATTACTTCTTCGATTCCGTGACCATAACACTTTGGTCTTCACGTTTACACTCCTCCACTCGCCACCGAAAACTAACACATCGGAAATCCACGCTTAAAACCTTCCCGAAACGTTTGTAACGACGTATGCTATAGACTTATCCCTTAATGAAGAGGACTAATTGATTCGTTAGACACACTGACCGTAAGATGAAACTGTATGGCGTCATTTTGGTGTTCACTTGCCTTTTCCGCTAAATCATGTGCCTTTTGTCGAAACTCTACTTCTTAGCTAGATTTCCGTGTTGTTTTAGCTGAGTCTCCTCGGTGACACGATCCGACCATGCCCATCAATGTAGAAAAACATCTAGGTTATCTACTGACGACCTCTATTACCGCTTGCGCTAATTTAATCACTGCTACTGAGTCGACACGACACGTCAAGTTCACCGCATTGTAACAAGGTTAGATTTTAATACTTCAGTGTTGAGAGACATGAGATGGCAAACGTCTCCAGGAAGATTTTAAGCCATCAGCTCTAAAGTAAATACAGAAAAAGCCTTTCAAAGGGTGCTTATATGTTTTTGTCTCAAGACTTACCTGGCAGGATGTTCCATTGTCCTGTTATTGGATAGTTGGCCTCAAAAGTCCACAATGTGAACAGTTATTTGCCAGTTCATAATGGAGCGGATTTCATATGCAAATACGGTATAGTTTATTACTTTGTGTTTGTAAACACTGTACTTTTATTAACAGCTTCTCTAAAGAAATATATGGAAAACACTTTGTTTACGAACGGCGATGGCTTTTGTTTTCGTGATAAATTTGGTCAGAGGAATGCAGCTGATGAAGACATATGTCAATTGGCAAACTGATTCTTCGGTCTCGGTCGCTTGCTTTCTAGCAGAATAAATTATTCATAGAGAAAGGTGGAAATGAAAGGCGAATGTACGGATTTCAACATATGTTTTTAAAATGCAATCTCCAAAAAAGCGTAGAACGGCGTCACGAGAAAACAACTGCACCACAAATTTCTCTTGATTGGGCGGAAATAGTCTAGGTCAGTCCATGCGTTTCGTCTACCGTGAAATTAAAGCGAGTTCCTCGTAGCAGTGAATAAACAGCAAGGTGCGTCTTGTATGGCTCCAGATGGACTCGGAATTAGTCTTCAATTCAATCTTGTTGCTTTTTAAGAACCTCTAAGCATTTTATCAGCTCCTAAGTTGTGCTAAGAGATTGTAATCTCTCTCTTGGTCGTACTAATGTAAGTGTAAATTACGGCTGAAAATATAGTCGTTAGAATCGTTACATCCGGATTAATTTCTTTCAGTTTGTTTATCAGTATAATTTTCCGTATTTCGCGGGTCACTTGACACTTACGATGGTTTGAATGTCTTGAATTTTGTTATCTCGACTGTAAAAGATTTTCGGATGGTCGTACAAAGAAGTGGAGTGGGTTAACCTTGGACTTCTCACGCAAAAATATGAGTATTTCGTTTACAGCGCTCGATAAGGATCCTTTTGAGTAAAGTAAAGGTCATCCATTTAAAGAGTCAAAGGCCTCTTACGTAAATGAGTTTTATTTAGTTGAATGGAGAAAAAGAAAAAGGATGACTGGAAATAGAATCCGATTTCGTCTAATCTTGAACATCAAAAATTTTTTCAGTTTATCGCGTAAATTGTAATTCTTGTAATTCTGCGTCGGTGGGAGAGTATAACAGGGTGATTTAGTCGTGTCAAATTGAGGGTAAAATTTCCGTACCGCTCCATACTACTGTAAACAAATCTTTTTTCCCAGTGGAAATGTATTGTTTTTGTCATTGTTTTCTCTATCCAAGAACTGAATGCATAATGTAGTATGGGGCTGTGCGGAAATTTTACCCAACTGAGTTGATAACGTAAATTGGCCACCGTAAATAGTTACAGAGCTTAGTTGGTTCGTTTCGCTCGTTGGAGGCAATAGTTCAGTGCACAGTTCAACATCGTATCTTACAGTGCAGCAAAAAGTAAACTCAGCAGCAACTGTAAGTGTTATTCGTGAATATTACACCTTTCTTTTCTCTAGTTTTATTTTTAAAGTTTTGGTTGGCAACTTTCTGTTATAGTGTTAACCGCACTTGAAATCTTAGAGGAGACGCTGAAAAAATTTCCTTCCGTACTTGTCAAATCTGAATACTATCAAATTCAATTCATATCAACGGTTGACGAATGATCAGTACTTTACTGAGTCACGAGTCACAAAATCAGTGAAGAAAAAATTTTGGCGCGCCGCGCGAAATTCCGGGAGTGAAGCGCATAGATTAGTTCGCACAACGCGCTAACATTATTTATTTTATTTAATTTTTCACCTGTAAGGGATGGCTGGTAGTCTAATGGCTAGAGAATATGTCGATGTTATCATGGCTATGGCATGTTATTAATTATTCACATGACTAGAATAAACGACAGATGTCAGATGTTTTCATCTTCAATTTTTACCGTTGAGAAAACTGTAAAAAGCAACAACTGACTTTCGTGCGCTATTGCGCTCGTTATCTTACAGTAGTTAATGCCACAATGCTGCGGCTTTTGAGCTTAAGTTCAAATTAAAAAAATAACAAAACATTTTTAGTCGATGGGTTTTTGCAACATCCGTGCCCCAGGGCATAAGAGGTTTGCGAGTCGAATTTCTTTAGGCCGCATCATGCAGCAGTTAGAGCAGTTTGTTTTGAAATCGTCCAACTAAGTAACAGCTCGCAAATCGTCAGATCCATATCCTATCGCAGGTTCGCAGTCTGTAAATACGCTTTTGACCCCCTGCACACGCGAACCGCAGGGCCCGGGAATTCGTCCTTGCAGTTTATCAACAAACAAAAATTCCGCGCAGTTAGCATCACCGAGCGAACAAATTTACGTTTTTATGTTTTAGGCTTTATGACTGATAAATCTTCTAAAATTTTAACAGCATGCACTATATCTTTGGGATTCCCAGCGCAATATTTGCGCCATTAAGTCTGTTCACTCCTCGCTAAACCTTTGTAAACAAATTAATTCATTTTGGCGTCATAAAAGGTGTTAATGAAAAAATTTACACTTAGCCACAAACAAACAAGAGTGACAGGTGAAGTCAATACTTATTCGATAAATGCGTCAGAATAAGAACTCTTATGTCGATGAAACTCATCTTCAAAAATTGTAACAGTCATCCAAAAACCTTTGTGTTTCAAACAATTCGCTTTACTTTGAAGCTTCCTAAAGCGGTGAATGGCAGAATTAAGCGTCCTTAAGAGTTCTTAATGCGTTTCTTTATTAATCCATTGAATTCCACCGGGACCTGCTAAATTGCAAGATTTTACAAATTCTAATTATGCTATGAAAGTTTATGCAAAGCGAGTATTCGTCAATTAAATCGCTCGCGCTGTGTTATTAGAGTCTTTGTAGATGTTTATCAAACAAAGTTGATTAAGCCACCTGATCGGAGGAAATGCAAAAATTTTAAGAACGCCCTGAAGTGGTGAATTTGGTCGAATTGATGTAACGGTGTGGTTTTGTTTCAAGAGCCCTGAGGAAAACGGATCAAGTTTCGCAACAAGTAGTCAAGCAATTCATAAAACGCACTAAGACCGGCTAGAATTGGAAATATTTCAGACAGGGTGTTGATTCTTAAAAGACCAAAAAGCACGGAAATGTGGTTAAAGAATTGAGGCTGTTTTAGTGGCTGTTAAAGACATTATTTCAATATGAGTGTTAGTTCATCAAGATACCCGCTTATTCGCATCAGCAAGACAGGAGAAATGAGGCTGAAGAACAAGGTTGGAAATGCAATACTCAAGGAAAATGCCTACGAAGATCGAGCACTCAGCACGCGCTTGGACGAGTTATCTAAACATCAATTCAGGCAAGATAAATACATGACTTATAGACAGCTTGAATTTGCCACAAAGCAGGTTTCGGCGTCAGAAGAACGACCCCGAACGCTAAATGGACAAGAAGGCATCAAACAGGTTCAACAAAATGTCGATAATGGCGAACAGTTACCCCCGATAGATACACGAGGAAGATCAAATATCGTAGCTTCGAATTTAGAAGCGTGTCGCACAAATCCAAGCGGGGAATTAGTTGGAAATGATAAAGCAAAAGGACGTTGGGAAAAGGCAATAACTCTTGTTCGATTAGCGGTGCAAAATAGGCCGTCGCAGAAAGGCAGCGCAAAGCCGTTGTCAAGTCCTAGGAGAAAAATATCTGGAAATAAACACGTCGATGTACACGCGAGCGACACGCCGGATCGACATCAGTTACCACCAATTCACGGAAACGAGGGAATACTTAGGGAACCGTTAGGGTCTTCAAAGAGAAAGCCACCGCTTCGAAAACAGCCGAGTTTACCAGAAATGCTCAGAGTCTCTCGAGAAAAAACTCAAAAATGCCTTGAGGATCCGAGGTTCATGAAACTCGAGCAGTGTTTAAGCGAGACAAAGGATCATCCAGAATCGATCAGACGACCCAGAAAAAATTCAAGAACAAAACGAGCTTCTTCGGACAGAATTCGCGACATGTACAATAATAATAATTTCAGCTAAAAAGGCATTTGGAGAGGAACTCGACTATGACTGAACTTAAAATTATAAATTATTCAGATCATACACAGCTGTATACATGAAAAAAGAAGCTTAAAATCTAAAGAAAACAAACTACTGAGTTCTCGTTCGAATTTATTTGAAACGCGCTCTGTACAAAAATATACGTATGGTGATTGAAATGATTGGTAATACAATAAAATTATGAGCCACAACCTTTTTCCTTAACTGCATATGCTAACCCACATGCAAGAAACTTGCGTAAATATATGTGTATATATATATAGTCATATATTCAAGTATTATTTATGTTAATCTTGACACATAATTTTTAAGTTTAAAAACAAATTAAAAGTATGGATTTGATGTGGGTAACTCGTTCCATTCCAATTCATTTCCCATTGACAACCAAAAAGTGGATTTTAATTTTCAAGTCACGTCTCTAAGGAAGAGATCATGCAAAAAAACATCTGTCAGTTATCAAAAGGTATATACACTTATTTATTCGTATAGATAGATTATTTTGTTTCGGTAATTAACAATTTAAAAGAACAATTTAAAACAAATATATAGTTTGGCATCAACAGTTATTTCAAGCGTGTTAAGATAGGTGACCGCAGGCCGTTGACCCGTGAAAACGTTCCTTCGAAAAACACAAAGTACGTGCAGACAGACTTTGACGTAAGGCTTCTCTGTCACGTCTGAAATCTCTTTTCAAAGAGTAATCTGCTTTTTCTCGAAGCTTAGGGTGTTACAATTTATCATCTATCTGCTGACGGGGGCGAGCGAAGAATTTTCCATGGAGGCAGGGAAGGGTCTTATACCAGGGACTTGTTCGTATTTGAATTACACCTTGATATCAGTATGCATATTCTCCACACTGTATACAATTCCTGAGGTGGTAACAAAAAGAATTTGTTCAGCAATCAAGAGCTTCTTTAGTTCATGATCTTTTCTTTTATTCTCCTGACCTTTATGATTGATCCAGGTTGTGATATTGTAAGGAGAAATGAGATGCTTGTCACTCTTGAGGGATAAAGGTTTTAAATAACTGAATAAGCAGTCAAAGAGGGAAATCACTTACATCTTAGAAACCCACCCATCACCCGCCCCCTCTCTCTCCCTCCGACCACGTTTTTGGCCCCTGTTCAGTTTGTACTGAAAATGTTTGACCTCGTTTAAAAACGTGTAGCTTTAGATAATCCGGTCGAGAATAATCCTGCAAATGGTGACTGATGTTTCGATAACCAAAAGGGAAGTCATCATCAGTTAGTTCAGCGAAGGGGGAAGGGAGGGGAAGTTGGAGGATTTTGGTCGCGTCACAATAAAATGTACCTGATCCCCCTTACGGCTCTTTAGACAGTTCTTATGATCCTACTCTGTTGGCAGGCAGCTTTTTGTAGTCCTTCCCCCTTTAAACTTTGTTGGAGGCTGATCCTCCTTGCGTTGCCCCTGTAAACCATGTGATACCCCCCAAAATTCTCCGACCGCCTTCCCCCCCCCGCCACTAGTCCTTCAATCAAATTCAAGTCGAGTTCAAGCAGGGAGAAGAGCTCAACAAGCCTTGCGCCCCTCTGTTATCTTAAAAACCATGAGATCCCCCCAAATTCCTCCTTCCCGCTCCCCCGGTCCCTAGGGTAAATTTTAGGATTTGGAAAGAGTTTGAAAATTCCATGTCGTGTTTCCTTTTTCACTGAAAGTTTTCTCCATCTCCATATTTTCCTTATAGCCGCGAATAACAGCGCTAGAGCAACGAAGAAAGAAAAAATTTAGAGTACTAATTGTGTTGTAACAAAGCAAAGCAGGTCATCATAAAGCTTTGACGAGAACGCTGTGGGATTAGTTATAAGCCATAAAATAACACATGTGATCATAAAGAGTATATTTTAATACTTAGCAACGTTATCAAGTGCCAAAATAAATAGGAGAAATGTAAGCATGCTACAATTGTACATATTTATTCCGGACATTAATTTAAAAGTGTCAAGCCTTGATCATTTTACGTTTGCTCCAATATAAGGCTCTATTTGTGTCAGTTTGGAGTAAAATCACGGCTCATTTTCATTTTTTAAAGGCAAGGCAAAGTTGTCTAGAGAACCCGTGAATTTTTAATGCATTCCATAGTCTCCAATATGAATCGAAGCTATCAGCGATTGATACCGTCAAGTCTTAACAACCCCTTCTCTGTGTCATTCGAAAATTATTTCTTGTCTTATCACCTCTCCGCTTCTGATACCGTAACACCTCTATTAAAATCCTTCCGGGAAATACGAGTGCTTAACTACTTGTCAGGTGACCTCTTCGGTAAAGGTCTGTCTAGAAATGATCTTCCATCACTGTAATTCCATTGATGACGCTTGACAAACGCTACCGTTTGCGGAGGAATATCGGGGCAAAGCCTGTCATTGGAAGAGTTCATCGGAATAGGCTTGACAGCCCATTTAGGTCGAGGAGTTGTACTGTTCGCCGCCTTTCTGCCGCGACCTAAGGAAATGTTTGAATGCTCGCGAAGATCCCTGTTGTAAGACGCAGTTTTTGCACGGATTTGAACTGTCCTTAACTTCTCCTGATTCAAATTAAACGGTTGCACTCGATGTATGTAACCCATACGAGTGTGATTCTTTCTCAAATCAGGCAAAAACGCTTCGATCAATCTCTCCCGGTTGTGTTCGTTCATAACTGTCATGTCAAGCTCCGAGCGACAAGATTTAGTCCACCGTGAATTTGGCGGTGAGCCCAACATTGAGTGAGTATCATGAGTTCTAAAAGGCTCTGATCTCGCCCTAGAACTGTTCGTTATTCTCGCCGGAGACGTAGAAATTGTAGAGCCGCGTAAGTCTAAATCCATCCTAGGTTCGCCAGTATCAGTGTGTTGTGACAGAGCTAATTTTGTTTCCACGGTATTTGCCACTGCTGAGTGTTTACCTCTGTTAATATAAACTTTGATGATTAATTCTATACTATACTGAAGCATTCAACGGTAAACGCAATCAAACCATGAAGAATCCGGATGCGACTCAAAAATACGTAATCACATTGCTCTGTATACAAACGTACTCGAAAGTAACTCGTAGAATTGTACTCTAAACTCGCTGAAAGCTTCAAAGATTCGACGGACAAAGAAGCTTTATGCTTGAATGAATTATTAACTATTGTTGTGGTTGTGAGCTTTTATTGTTTACCGCCGAGAGACTGATCTGTTTATAATTAATGCACACGCGGTTGGTCAACGAAAAAGTCAAGCCATTTGTTGCTAAGCAACTGAAAACCGTTGTGAGAAGTGAACTGGATACCAGCTTAGAGGGGAAAGACTACACGTTTAGTGTCGAAAGCAAAAATAACCTCTGCTGAAAAGTGAACGCTTTGACCATCAGCTTTTGTTTACTTATGAGTTAAACAGCGACAATTGTGCTTTGATTTTTTTCTGGTTAGATTCATAAGAATTTAATATCTCTTCTTTCGTAGCCTACAGAACAGGCCAGGTTTCCTGGCTAACAGAGACACGTGAGGCGAACGCCAAGGGCAAGTCACTGCTAGATGAGGAAAGTTTCTCTATTTTGCGCCCTCCTCTCACGCGTGCTTTTGATTTCGCCTCGCACGTACTTGCACTCACCTAAAAAAGCAAAAAAATAACGCCTGCCTGTCCTGGATGGTAAGCCTCCGTAATAATGTTTTTTTTTGCAAGGAATAGCGCCATAGAATTCACCGGTGTCCAAAAAGCACTCCGCACCCGTATAGAGGGACAACTCAGCAGAATTCTTCGGATGGTATCAGTTCTTATTAAATAGGCCAGCGATCTCGTGCAAAACGATCAACTTAAAATAAGCGATGCTACTAGCGGTGCAACACTGCTCAAAATAAGTCAGCAACCATCTAATGAATCACTTAAAGTACTGACAGGGGTACCCTTCAGTTCGCAACCCGGAAGCAAAAAAATAATAGACATTTCAGAATTTGCGGTTTGGTTCCCTTAGCACACCTTACTTAAAATGCGTGGCGCGAAAAACACATAAAAGTCATTGAACAAACAGGCCTTCCTCGTTAGCGCTTCGGCACGGGCCAACCAGTATGTGGCCTTGAGAGACGCTAGTCGGTGAGGGGTCTTCAAGGGGCCTGGCACTGATGATGATTTCCAGACCCCCAGCAAATTAAAGCTCTCCCCGACTCTTCTTAATCTTTCCGCGCGTAGAAACGCGCGTTTTGCAGTGCTAATAATAATGAGGGCCGGATCATAAGCTATCGTTAAATTTGACCGCTCTAGTGAGTCCATTTTAATGTCCATGGAAAGGTCGATGACAAAGCAAATATGGACGTGGTATTGCTGCCGCTTTGTGGCTAATTAGGTGCTTTAAGTCAGCAGCTTGTATGTACCGCTCAACAGCTACAGAAACCAGCCCACAATGCAACACTGTCGAAAAAATTTTTGAAACCACCACCGTTTAAAAGCGAAATGCTATTTGATCCGACACTCCGTAACGAAAGAACAGTGGACTGAGAGTCTGCATTGAATTAAGAGATATCTTTTGTGCTGGTTTGGTCCGAACATCCTTTTCCATAGCAGCTTCTTGCTTCATATTGACTCGCACGTGCTCTATCTGTAAAAAATCTGCGAAGCCCTTCATAATTTTGTCAAACTCTCCCCAAATCCATCTTTCGTGTGCAGATTTGGTTTTTATTTTCTTCACGGTCACCGCCGGTGGAAGTTTTGCACTGCTAGACTTCCTTCGGTTCAAAAGCGAGGCTCTTGCATTCCGTGTTTTTGGTGTAGGGCTTCGAGCCGACGTGATTGTTAAATTTTGTTCCGATCCTGATTCTGACCCAGGCAAAACAGGTGGATTCTCCTTTTCAGATCCTCCCTTTTTCTCAGATTCAGCATTTTCTGAATTATTGATTTGATCAGAGTTCGTCTCCTCATCAACGGTGTCTTCATGATTAAAAATAGATTTCTCATCATTCTCGATGCTCATCACAGATCTTACTTCAAGACGGCCGTTTATCGCCGCAGTTTGTTCAATCTCCTTCCCCAAATCGCGTTTTCCTGCAAAACTTGACGCGCGTGACGCGCTCTGGCTTATTATGCTCTGTCTAAAACCCTGATTACTTTGGCGTACAATCCGGCTGTGATTTTGAAGACTTTTAGCCCCATCCCCTTCATCAGGTGCATCCATGCTTCCTAGTTTTTCAGTTGTAGCAAAAGCAGTCTTTGAATTGTTATCACTTAATTTTCGAGGGACTATTTTTCTTCGTCTTTCAGCTTGCTTCACAAAAACCGCTCGTTCTCTCTCCATTTCTGCAGACCTCAATTGCCTCTCCTGCTCAATTCGATCGTTCGTTCGCTCCAAGTCGCACTTCAGAAAAGAGTTTCTGTATCTGGCAAAATGTGCCTCACGGCGGGTTGTTTTAAATTTGCTGAGATGAAGCTGTCTTGCTTCTCGACGAAGACGATCAGTGATGAAGTCCTCTCCTATAAGAAAATTGTTGTCCTCAGAATAAACATCTCGAAATGTTCTCCACGCCATGTCTTGTCCTTTCAGATAAAGTTCATGCAACCATTTACTGCTTTGTTTTCACATTTACAAAGACAAGAACTACAAAACGAACTCTTTGTGTAAAGGTATAATGATCTGGGTGGTCGATAAAATTCAGCTGAAGGGTGAAGCTTACTTTCCGATCGATTGTGGCGATTTTGTTTGTTCTTTGATCAAGAGTCCCTCGGCGTTTTTATTCATTACTTATTTCTGAGTACTATAGCAACCGATTTTCTTGCGGTTTCCACAAAATGAATAAAATATCAGTCATGGTTACTGTGAAACGATGATTGTTGGGGAAAGTTTGAATTTGAAACTGAACTATCTACTTTTTTGGAAGCACTGATATATTCTCTAAACGGTAAAAGGTACAGTATATATTTTAGTAGTATCGAAGAACGATTAACTGTCCAATTTTTTGGTTTTCATCAACTGATCTTCCTTGATCGTTGCACTTAATTATTTATATATTCTTTCTAATTGGGGAAAATCATATTTTTAAAAACAGATCACTTTGTCAGATGGGAGGGATTTGGCGAGCTCGCGTTGCATCTCCCCCCTTCTCAGGCGCACCCCGATATTCTTCCCAGACTCCTTTGTAGGTAGAAAAAACAAGTAACGACTGGGTACGAGTCTGTTTCTTTGTTCCACAAGTAAGACAGTACGTTTGGGGCTAAAAGTATCATTTACCAAAGTAGTGAATATAAACGTACCATAATTTTGGTCATTTTTTTTATTACTTGGTTTGTTTGGCCTCCTGTCCTTTACTTTTGATATAATATTTTTATCTTACATGTCTGTTTATTTTTTAATTTGTATGGAAACTTCCTTGGTTGAATTCAGCTCCGACCACCTCCCCCTAATCTTACATGACACGAACCTAAAATTAGCTTCCTCTCTATGGTTATAATAGTATGTTGGATAAATTTTTCAGCGATGAAGAACATTTATAATCGAGGTGATCATCCTTAAACCACTTCTCAGAGATTGAAGCCAATTCAGCGGCACAGAACTCAAAGTCAGTTCTATCAACGATCTGCGACGGCCGGCACATTTTCGAGCGGTCTCAGAGATTGCATTCGACACCTCACAAAAACAAGATTGATGGATTATGTTTAAGAAAGGAAACGAGAGTTGATGATTTTCTCATGTGCGTAGTTATTTCTTTCTTTCCTTACTTAACATCTGATTGGACAGCTATAAACAGAACTAAATTCCAAACTGTATCGTGCGTAAGAAGGAGATCTGGGTCGGTAACAGAGGCAATGGGCGCGAGGGTCTGCCCCAGTCTTACTCCGTCAGGAACTCTCGCCCCGATTTAAATTTTACTCCACGACCGATCAAACGATTACATTCAGCAGGACACCAAACTGCATTTAGGTTAGCTCAGGTTTTATGGCGCAAATTTGCCAGTACGTCCCCTGACCGGACCAACACTCAGGGTCCTAATTAAAATAACCGAGGAGAGAGTGCACCTGTTGCTATGACATCTGCAAGTGGTCAGACGTTCTAACCTTCTCGGATAAGAACGGTAATCCGTAGGCTGCGTCTCTTGCACCTTCTCTCTTCTGGTAAGCAGAGGACGCTGAGAGCGAGGAACGTATTTCACGGTAGGGTGGTCTGATGTTGTTTTCAAAAAGTCCCAAATTGGGGATGTACAGTACCTACAAAATTTCTTTTAAAAAAGTGTAAATTACTCAATAAAGTCCCCCGCAGATTGTTGCACAGCGCATTAGACCCTAATGATATGGAGAATGCGCTGTGTAAATGCAATTTATATGTTTAAACAAGTTGGCAAGCGGGTACTCCAGCGGTTCTGTAAACGTAAACGTAAGTATTTTTAAAGCAAGAGCTATAAATAACGTCAAGATCGTGACCAAGATGAAAATCACATGCTGCGGAACACATGGGTTGCACAATTCAATGTCACGAAAAAGTGCGCAGCTAATCAGTGCCGGCTATTACGTAATTTCCTTCTTTACTTCAAATGGCTTTCCCTTTTGATGCAGTCAAGGATCTATCACGAGTAAAGATCGGAAGACAACTCAAGAGGGCAGTGGAGTGTAGAGGCCTGAATGGCCAATCCACCCACCAACATTAACGCGACAGATTTTTTTTCACTTTGGTTTATATGCAAAACAAGATACCTTGTAACTATCCTGAGCCCTTTTGGTCAAGTCCAAAAAATGTAATTGGCAATTGGCTATTGCGCCTTCTTCATTTTACTTTCGAGTAAATTGGACATTTCTTGTTTTTATTGATTGAAGACACCACCCTATAGCCGATAATTTTATATTTCGTCATAACTTTGTTGGATAATGTTTTAAAAATTCTAGAAGCTGCAAGAGTAAGGCGCACAGTTTCACATGATAGGAGAGTTAGCCGATAAGAGTATCAGGTTTGGATCATATGATAAAACGCTTTTATCACCAGAATGCTTTTATGGTAAAACTAGACTTGAGCTTATCAGCAGTGGCTGTTTTGATCAAAGAAGGCAAACCGCGTCAGTTTGTTTAGTTCATTTATTTTCTGTCGGTAAATTTAAGGCGGAAAGGAGTGTTTGCTTTCGCGATTAATCAAAGAGAGTTCTCTTTGTCTTCAAATTTATTTGCATAAAACACAGGAAACGAAGCGAAGTAAACACCCTTGAAACTTTGGACTCGTGAGAAAATTTGGCCATGCATGAACGCGGTCACTCTTTTCAACTCAGGCTTATCGAAACGAGAAAAACTTGCCACAAAGTAAGACTAAAATGCACAATCCCAAGGTTCACTAACTTGATTTAAGAAAATGACTCAAAGATAGTTGGTTTACAGGTTAAAAATCAGTTTAGTTGCATGAAAACGAAGGCCGGTTTTTACTTTCTAGCGCAGTTGTAACCAGACTAGTAGTTAGCTACTAAGATTAGAACGATATGGTGTGGCTCTAACGAAAAGAGTTGAGTATTTCTATGACAAATTTCAACTCTTTCGCTGGTTATTTAAAAAAAAAGAGCGCTTAAAAGCAAAACAGGAACAAAAAATCTAGAAATGACATCAAAAGGGAAACAAAATTATACTAGAAATTTCTTTGGAGCGACTCCAAATCGACTGATAGTTCTATTAGTTGTGGTTTGGTAGCCAAAACAGCAGAGTACCGTAATACGCATCAAAATAAATCATTCATTTGCAAAACCTTGAATATCACGGTTATGCATTTATTTTTGCGACAGAAACAAGTCGAAACGCCATTGATTCTAAAATAAAAATACAACTATACTAGAGTAGGATTCTAAAAGTATTGTTATTGAATGAAATTAAAAGTTACGTTAACACCTCAAAGCTATACAACAAGGTACGAATGAGGAATATTAGATAAATTTCATAAATAGCCCAAAAAATGGAAGGAAAAAAAACGATTCAATAAATGAAAATCGACGATAAACCTACTGAAATAATTAAAAGTTGGAAATTATTAAATAAATGTACGGCTGGATACATAATGTTTACATCACTCATATAAATAGATATGTATCATCGAAGATTTAAATTCCAAACTACGAAATTTAAAATATCAAAATTCAATGAATTATGATCATGTCGGAAAATATAACAATATATATATATAGTTTCCTCAGATTATTGTACAATATACCATATGTCTTCGAGATCAACTATGTACAACGTTTTTCCTTTGGCAAAAAAGATCATTTTCCGAGCAAAATATCAAAGCTGATAAATTAGAACTTGTGGACGCTTCGTGCATAATTTATGCATTTCGAACAACATGTGTGGATGTCTAATGAACGTATTTTTCTAAGAAGCCAGGTAGAATGTGCTTTTTTAATTTTCCCTCTTTGCGAGGATTTTCAATTTTGTCCTCGGATTGATGTTTTTCGAGGTCGTTAGTTACCCTGCCTTCTCGATAGATCGAGCGACTACTGTAAGCTTTCGCCTCAGTAGTTGTGGCGTGTCGCCAAGATTCGGGGAAAGGCTGCCGATTACTACTTGAAATTGGCGGCCGTGTGAGAGAACAGCTCTTCAGATACCGTTGTTCTTCACGAGGGGCGATGGTGTACGATTCACTTTCGCCAAAAGTAACCGTTTTTCGCCTTGTCGGGTCTTTACGAAGTTTATGTTGCCTTCGATACTGCGCTGGTGATTCATCGCCACAAAACCCCCTGCTCTGCTTTCCTTCTGTTCTTCTCGCGTTACCTGGTTTCACAACATACTCGTGTCGGCCGCCGTTGAATGAGTGACTTTTTGTCAGCATAGCGTGATTAGCGGGTTCCTCGACTCGCCGGGCGTAAATCATCTCTTCTTTATCAAATCTCTGGTCACGGTAAAAGCGCGGTGAACATTCACCAGAAGCGTAATGATCAGTTTGCTCCGTATTGCTGTAATTACAGCTTACAGCAGGGTAATGTCTACTGGAGTATCTGGAATCGTTACCACTATCGTGGCTGTAACTAGAATCCTCAGACACACCAGAGTCTGTAGACGTGCTCGAAATAGAATACCTCCAGCCTGGTACATTTTTAAAGTTGTAACCTGCACCCTCGTCTAAGCCATAGGTGACTGAACATTTCTGCTTGAAACTTTCGGACAGTATCGCTTGCGAAAGTAGGGCTCGCACTTGATCGCTTTTCGCAACATCGACCGCTTTTTGCCCATTTCCGTTTCTTGCATTTACATCGGCGCAAGCTGAATTCACTAACAAGCTAACAATGTCCAAATGGCCTTGTTCTGAGGCGAGATGTAGCGCCGTGCGGCCTTCTGAATCCACAAAACTCAAATCCGCCCCTCGCTCTAAGAGAAAGTTTGCTAAAGCTAAATTTCCATCTCTACAAGCTTGCTGCAATGCGGTTAGTCCATATTTATTCGGCTGATTCACCCGTATTCCTTGCCCATATTTCAATATAAACTTTACTTTTGTCGTGTCGCCATCGAGCACCGCTTGATGAAATACTGCACTCATAATAAAGATCTTGAAAGTTCATCGGAGTCTCGAACCATTCATTCAAGCCGCGATTCTGTTGAGAGAAAGAGAGAGCATATATCGATCAGGCAACAGTTAATCTCACTTTTCTAAACTTGAATTATCGCATAATATACCTCAGTTTGTATTCCTTTCAGAGCAGAACAAAGGCGTATTAAAATCGTCGGAAAAGAAAATCAATTAACGGCGCAGTCTCAATTCTTGAGACAAAACGGTTTTCGGTGGCGCAAAGAAACGACACTTGTAGTACAACATTACGGGCTTACCTGTCGTCGACAATTGTAGACTGAAAATTCGCTAAGTCGCCGCAGATTATCCTACGAGTTTCGAGAGAGGCGTATAATGCATTGATGTACTCAACGAACAAAGCCCTTTTCCGCGAGAATAACTGAAGCAGATCGGAGCAAACCGCAAGAGTGATTTAATTTACATGTGTTAACCGAGTGATATGGAACGCTCGCGCGATGTTCCTTGAGAGTCCACGTAACTCGTTTTGTTATTGGTCCAAATTTACCCTCCGGCCGTGTTGGACCGCTTTTGTTTATGTAAAGGTGTATTGTTGACAGTGTTAAAAAACCTGCGGGAGACGAATTTTCATCAACACTTCGCAACCTTATAAGAACAATTTGAAATTTTAATACTAATCTTGAGAATCGTGATGAAAATTCTGTATGGAACAGTTTCGGGGGATGAACTCAAACAATATTCGATCAAAACACATCTCGACCGATCCTTTTTCGAAACTCTTACGTCATGCAGTGATTACATGATATCGTATTGCATTTTCTAATTCAAATGATGTTGTTCTAAGTTTGTTTTAATATTTTGGATCAAGAGTGAAAAGAGCCTTATTACTGAGAAACAAAAAGATTAATTTCGTTCCCAATCTCAGTTACAAGTTGTAAAGCTTCGAGGTAAGATTCAATTTATGAAATGAAGCTTTTCTAACATTAGCGTAAAATTTCTGTCATCTCCAAGAGGAAAAGGAGTTTAAGATCAAGGAAAAGCTCAAAGCGTGTTAAAAACGGACCATATTTAGGCTTCATTTGAGAATTATCAGAATTTTCAGTCAATCTGAATTTAAAAGTTTCCATGCATAAAAATGGCCCCAAACTAATTGCCTTGAAATTAGCAAATTGGCATCGTTAAATGAACTAAACGTTTGTACAAATATTGTCTCACCGTTTTCCACTCATCGCTTGAAACAATATAAATATTGCCGCTAACCGCAATCAGCTCCCATTACGAACTGTTCAAATATGTTTGAAGAATACATTTGCCATTAACCTAACATGTCAATATGCCTTTTTACAAATTCGTGCTCAGCAAAGCGCATACGACATGAATTGACATGATGGTGGGACGCTGCATGCAGGATTCAGCAGGCGAAAGCTGCCAATGACATCTCAAGTACTTCCTTCAGGAAACCAGAAAGGAAATACTGTATGTTCCTTTTTGGATTATTTCGCTCTTCCAGGTCAAATTCAACGAAACTCTACGCTTACGGATGATTTTGATTGGTAGCAAATGAACACTGACTGCGACGAGTGGCTATCAGCTTTCGACACCCAGAAGAAACTAAAAAAAGTTTTCGTCTCGATCCATTGCGTGCAGACTTTCGAGGTTATTTTTTCCCTTTTATGACCTCAGACTAAACAAAGATCAAACGGGGAGGCCCTGTCTGAACACGTTTTTTAGATAGGAAAACAGACAATAAAATAACCCTTTCTCAATGGCGATACCCAGTGTGCAGTTCTAGATATAGAATTTAAGCCGACATTCTTGTTTTCTTTTGCTACCAGTCTTTAATGTTAGACCAACAAAATCTCTGTACCTTCAATTGCCCTTCGGAAAAGGGTTACCAAAAGATATTCAAAATGCAGATTGAATTTCTGTAGAGCAAATTAGTCCGACGTAGTCTTCCCGCTGGGTTTTTTATTAGTTTTCTTTGTCTCGTTTAAAGAGCAGCAATCTTGCTTTCACCCGTTGTACAATTTGGCAGGTTTTTTGTTTGAAACAAAGTTCGGCGTATCATTAAAAGACAAATGTCCAGTCTAACAACGCACGAGTAATGATTGTGCTAGCGCCGAACAACTGCCTAAAGCGCGTATGAAACGCCTTGCAAGCAAATTATTCTAGAATTCGAAGAAAAAGGAAATCACCCATTTACATCGAACAAGCAAGTTTCCAGAAGAAATGAACAATCTCTTTCTCTCACTCGGGCACGTGCCTGAATTGAAAAAAAAAAGAATCCATTCTGTAGAGCAAATGGGTATACTTGAGCCAGACGTGAAAAGGCAAAGCAAAAGCACAACTGAAATTACTTTTTTTCTTTTATAGAGGGTGTTCTTTTTTTCAGTCACTTCGCGTGACTCCCATAGTTTATCTATGTATCATGCCCGAGGCACAATGTTAGGAGGGCGTCAGCGTTAACAGTATGTTTTGGTCGTTTTGGCACTCTCTCGAATGTCGTTTAGGCGAGGGACTTTCCTATCGGCGCGGACCAAGCTAAACAAACAAAATAATTGACGTAGAGGTAAAATATATATCGATTTGGGAACTACAACATAGGTGAATTTCAGTTGTCATTCTGTAAACTTCACTCATGATCTGCAAAACTGATTAGTACTCCGATAAGGGGAGGTGAAATGAAATATTTTCTACGATAAATCACCGTCGGGCATCTGAAAGCGCTTCTGTTTATATTATCGTAGAGACTGCGGCGTACATTTTCATGCGTTTGGTTGGTAGAACGTAGCGACCGAAGCTCATTTTATATTCTTTGCGAACTTTAGATTTATCAACTCAGATGACAAAAGGGCTGACGAAGGGCCGACTTTCGAAACTTCAGCCCGAAACTCTTAACGGAAGCCGATCTGCATTATCAACTCAGTTGATAAACTAGATTATCTTTTAATACCCCAACGACGCAGCGCCACAGTTTCTTCAGAAACTCACCCCCTCTGTTCTTTAAATAACCTATCGAGACATGTGGTCTGCCAAACTTTTTCCTAACTTGTAAGTATAGTACACGCACAGGCCAGTTCAATCGCCTAACGAGACCAGTTGTATAGAAATAAGCGCAAAGATATGATATAAATGATTTATTTTTTTGCATACTCACCTAGTCCTCGGGTGTTTCTGCACCGAGTTTTTCACTGAGTTTTTAGGCGTTTTTACTTTGCGAACTCCGAGTCTCTCTAGAACATGTCAGGCACACTCCCGCATTGGCTTCGGTGAAAAACATGCGAAGAAAGAGTTGCTGGCGGGCACATATTGCGTGCTGCCAGTTTAATATCAGTGTCAACACATTCGTCGGTAAATTGATGAAAATGATCGATGACCTCGAACGGGGCGGAACAGATCAGACAGTTTTATTAATACTGCAATATAACTGGCACGCGAGACACATTATCGCCTTTGTTGACTTAAATGCAACGATATTACCACTTAAACGATGTAACAAGAAACAAAAACAGGAAAAAAAAAAAGAATGAAAATGACGGGGAAAAAGCATAGGTTTCTCATCCACCCATCGGTGCACAAAAACAACATAGACGGCCGTCTTTCTTTTGTCTTATTTGAATTGTAAATCTATTATTGGGACTCAGAACATCTAAGGGCCTGAGAGCGAGTCATTAAAATGACGAATGGAAGTGTTACCTTGGGTAAACTCGTCAAGTGCATTTTTCAAATTCTTAGTGGCAGATGTCATTAGTTGTTTTAGATCACGCACATGACCTTGAATGGCATCCAGTGTATAACAGACACGCTATAAGTGTAATTAATCATCTCTTTTATAAGACGCATCACGTACGTCACAAGATCTTTCGTAATTTTTTCATAGCGGAATCATACAGAGGCGCAAAATGTAAGCTCGGTGAGAAAGAAAAGAGCAAAAGGAGCAATAATTATGAAAATTAAGACGAAACAAAAAAGCTAAGGATGAAACAGATTGAAAACAATGACTTTATAACATTTAGGTTAAAATTTTTCTGGTGGACAATCTGTGACGAGGTATATGATAAGAGATGAAAAAACACGAGTAACCTCTGACCTCACTGACTGCACACGCTAATCTGTACATGTAGTAGCAGTGGGCGGGACGAAACATCCAATATACTTCAAAACCTTTCTAAAACATCAGTGTTTTGTCTAATTGACTTCAATTTTCAATTACACCACGGATTATGTACTCAACAGCTTCTTGCAGCTTCACACCTCACGCGAACTCAACGCGGCCACGAAGACACTTCTGTTCGACCTCGTGAGAAGAGAATTAAAATTTTCCTCGAAAGGGAAGCGTTTAACCCTTAAACTTCACGTTCTAAAAGCTAATTTTTTTCAAATGAAAGGCTAAAAGATGAAATCTACACTCGAGTCTAATGGCCCACAGGGCGCCAACGTTTATTCTGGTCTGCTAAGTGTGTGAAGTGACTTTAAACATCATTACTTCCCCCCCCTCCCCCTCCGAGAGGAGTTGTCAGTCCATCGCAGACTCCCCACCCTAAGCATTTCGTCTGGATGGCTTGATGGCTTACCAGAGGGGTACAGTAAGAGTAAAGTGTCTTCCCCGAGAATATTACACTATGGACCTATGTTTCGAACCTGTACCCTTATGACTGAGAGTCTATCTCGCTAACCGCTAGGCCACCGCGTCTCTCAGTTTTCTTATCTGATGACTACAAATTTTTCAGTTCACTGGCCTTGAGAATCTTTGTGACACTGATAGCAGCACTACCCTCCAGTTGATATCTTTCCCACTTCTCATAGCCTCTCCGTTGGACTGTGTATCAAACCTATGGGGAGATTTTAAAAACAACCAGTACATGGAGTCAAGAAATGAAGGGAAAAGAAACTTTGAAAATGTTGCAGCGACTTGGCCACCGTTTTTCAACATTTCTGATGGCAAGTTTTTGAGCTCAGTAAAGAAAATGAGAAAGATGTTCTACGTTTTGTCAGCTGTGTGAAGCAAAGAAAAAATTCTGAGTCCCTGAACCTTAGACCTTCGGATTCCGCGCTCCGATGCCTTTCCACTGAGCCACAGAGATCGCTGAAGGCTTTCAAGTTGCTCCAGTATCCAATTTACAAAATCTGTTTTTAGGATTGGAGCAGGCTTGCCCTACGAAACTAATTGTCATTAGGGTGGAGTGGGAGTTCTTTAGCTATCGATAGAAGCTCGAGAGTCTATTAAGCCTTAAAATTGAAAAGGAGAAAGAATGTCGTTTGGCTCGTGTTTTATTGCATCATCATTTCCTAAGCTTCAAGGTGGTCGTTACTTTTTGGGCTCCTTTTAATAATATCTTAATTGGGGACTAAATGAAGAATTTAAAGAATTCGCCACGAAAAACACAGTTTACACGGACATAACAATAATCACGCGATTGTATCAGGCAACACCAGCCGATGGAGACGCAGCACGTTCTGGGGTGGGCGCTTTAATTTTTAATCTTATAGCGGAGTTTGAAAAAGGGTTATCATTTAAAATAAAAGCTAGCAATAATCACAATGGTGTACAGAGCGCCCTGCGCCAAGCTGAGTGAAATCAAAGAGAGAAAGATGAGAGGTAGAGGCGCACGAGTCTTACCAAGTTTCCCGCAACTCTGTAGAGGTTTTCTTACACGGCAAGAAGTATTAACGACATGCGAAAACTAAAGCTCTCGATCGCTAGGGCTTCCCGTATGCTCACTTAAATGACAGGACAAGCGAGTAGCTATCGTGATCATTCCCCGTCACGTACACACCACCTCAGTAACCTGTTCCAATCTCACGGTTGGTTTGGCACAAGCGCAAACAAAGCCACTCACCCCCATCTGCACGTTTGCATCACGTGAACAGATATTAGAAATGCGGCGGGGTTGGATTTTGTAACTTGATGAAAGCAAATGGAATTAAAACGGTCTGTATTTTGTAAGATATTTCGATCTAAATTCAAATTTTTTTTATCTTGCAGCCTTTTGCTGATGAAATTATTGATCTTCTGGTCGGCATCTTGCGCGACGAAACCCTTTCCAGCGAAAAAGGAAGTGCTTTATAATATTGTCAAAGCGGACGACAAATATATTAAATCAGTCAGAACTCGTGTTTGTTGTTTTACCGATAAGGAGCTACTCTATAAGAGCGAGCGGAAGGCGAAACGGCTAAGGCTCTTTAATCCCTCTCGATCAATTGTAGTTAAAGGAGGATTGTAGACCTTTTTTCAGTCATTACCCCAACGTCTATCTTCCACTCTACGTTGTTTTTTTTCACCTCAATAGCGACTTCTATATTAAGGCACGCACTTGATATTGCCGCTGGAAAATACTACGTGGCCAGTGTGCCAATTTGAACAGTATCACAGATTAGAGACTACTGAATAGGCCCGCGCTGAGTTTAAGTCTGAAGAACGCTCAGAATTGTTAACCTTTTCTCAATCGTTTGCTTACACTTTTGGCTGCCGTCGATTCTTCTTGAATAACCAAATACAACAGCAATTGCGAATTTTTTAGCAAATCTGAATGATTTTATTAAATATACCAGCATACGGTTTTCGTAAACGTTCTAGATATAAAAATCTTCCAAAGGAATAGATATATCTTTGTATCACCAACTTTTCAAGCATCGTGCACCTATGCGTCGCATTCACGTTCTGCTAAACAGCCTTAAAATCAAAGTTGTTTGACAACAAATTTAAATATGAACTTTTTTTTTTAATTTTGAAGGTAAAGCCAACTGAAGATTAATTTTTGTAAAAAATCGTTCAATTTGTAATCTCCAGTCATAACTGTTTTATGCGCATGCGTTCTATCCAATATTAGGTAACACCAACGACCGACAAATTAGTGTCCATGCTTGTAATGCGAGGGAAATTTTACGTGCGCAAAGGAATGATAACGACAAGATTTACATAGCAAGACTATTACAGCAAAATGGCGGTATTTTTAAAATTCCCATTGTTTTGTTTGTTTCCATTTGTGAGCCAGGGGATGAGCTCAAATGAAAACAGATAAGGTTGCCGTTCTCAGAGAAGTTTCTGTCGAAGCTCCTCCGTCACGTATCTCACTCAACAAAAAACTATTGCGGTAACAGGTATTAATTTAGAGACCAGATCATCCGTATCATGGGTACAAAGTTTGTATCACCTGTTATCGCTTCAGCGCTTCTTGTCATTGCTTCCTGAGTAGGCAGGTCCCCTGGAGAAAAGTTTTTTTTTGTCGTCTCGGCGGAAAAACTCGCGTCAGCCTTGTTTGCAGAAGAGGAATAACGGTAACCCTAGACGCTCTATTGGTCCTTAAATTGTTCTAGTGGCGGAGCATGCCCACCCATTTTACCGCTGTGTCCGCTATGTAAACACAGCGGTCAAACTTCTGCGCATATGCAAACGTTGAAATGTCCAGGTAATGTGCTTTCAGGCTGTTAGAACCAATTTTATAAACCTCAGAAGAGAATGGTAAATCAGCAGGATACCTGTAGTTAAATAAGCTTTGTGCTCGAAAATTCTCGAGTTTTTTTTCCTATTTTTGTTCCCTTTTGCAGATTTATACCAAAATTTCAAGTTTCTTTTTCTTATTTTGCGAGCTAACGTTTGTTTCTTATTTTTTTCAATGGAAGTTTTGCGCGGGAAATTCGCGCACGGTAGGCCAGAATTCATCCCCTCGTGCATGCCCAACGTTTGACCGCCGTGTCGGTGACGCACAGGTTAATTCCTTAAAATCAGCATTCCAGCTTCTTTGTGGCTCCATACGAATAGTGGATGACAATGTTACCATTTCTGGCCTCTTCCGGGCTAGGCAATAGCTCAAATTTACCTGACGCTTTCTTAACAGTGCCAACTCCTTTGGAATCATTTGTTGCATCAAGTGAACTTCTCGTGGTTTTCCCGTCATACAACAGGAACTGAGGCAAGCAGAGTTCAGAGTACGACCTCTGGCGCAGCCCCTCAATGCTCTGCTGTTTCTTGTGCCTAATGTTCGGCAACCTGGTGACTGGCTTACATGTTGTGCTAAATACATCTCGACTGGCGGTTTTCCCGAACGGAGAAAGATCTTGGACATTTGATGGTTTTCTAAAACTAGCCTTGATGAGTTCTGTTGGAAAAGTTTGTCTGTAATTTCCACCCAGGTGGGCAGTATTCGGTGGAACTTTCAAATGCGATTGCAAGTCAGCGTTATTTTCTGTCACCTGAGCAATCAGTGCTGCAGCTTCCTCGCAAAACTTCGCAGTTTGTTTTTCTAATCGCCAAAGTGCTCTATCGGATCCAAATTCTTGGACATTCTTTCTCTTGGTATTCCGAGCTGGAGACTCGCTAAACTGAATGTTTGATGCAACTGAAAAAGTAGTTGGACTTAATCGTAAAGTTTTCCCGTTATAATCACCACCGAGCGTTACTTTATTTGTTGCGTAACTCTCACGAACTGTCACTCGCGATTTAACGGCACAGCCATTCAGCCGAGTCAAGTTTCTACCAATCTTTGCCTTCTTGTTTGTGGTTTTCCGGTTTAACACACGTTTGGCCGTCGCAGTACTTCGGTTCTTGTCTAGATTTAATTCCGTTTCGGCGTTTTCTTCAAAACTTTGAGGAGTTTTCACCGTGGACGAGTCCCCCATTTCAATCTTAGAAGAAGTTTCTGTTGCGATGGTAACCTTCTGCGCACAAAGGTCCAACTCACCCTTAACATCAACATCTTTTCTACGAGCCAGGGTTTCATGATCTGTTTTCTTTGTGGTAGCTTTCAAGCACTCAGTCTTTTCTTTGCCTTCTTTTTGCGATTTTTCCTTTCTCTTTTTTTCACTCTTGCATTTAGGAATAAATTTGACTTCGACCAAGCTGTTGAAACGCACTCGTTTAATATTTTTAGCTGCGGGCTTCTCGATGCTGACTGTGACTAAAACTGTCTGTAATGATGACTGGCTTCCGTCTATCATTTTGACTTCTGAATGACAGGAGTCGATTTCTTCTCTTTCAAGTTCTGACATCTCTTGTCAATGACCAGATTTAATTTTTGAAGAGCTGTCTTGCTAAAAGAGCAATCCGTTCTTCACTCCTCTAGCCTGCTATAAATTACTAATTAACGACCCCTTTTCCTTAGTAGTTTGCGTAGCTGCAGTAAAAGAATTCTTCAAAAGATAGAGTTTGGCCGTTTGACAGTGGTACGCAGACAAAAGTTAACAGGTGACGAATTGTTGGTACATGGTAACGCTACTACTTACACTGAAGCCAACTTCTTTATGTGTGAGGCTCAGTTAAATCTGTGATTACTGGTTCCGTCTAACTTCGATAACACCCCTGGAAATAGTTGAATAGCGGACGTGATTGCTTTAACAGTAATAGATCGGCTAGAATTTTCGATCAGCGTCGACTTAAACTCCCACAAACTGTGCAACCATCCAGTAATCTGCCTGAGTTGTGAGGTTGGTCAGATATCCAAATGCTGGCTCCAGGCTAGGTCGTCTGTTATTTCTTCATTGAGGGGAACGTTTCAGTATGGTAAACCCGCTCTAAGTTACGTGATTGTTGCCAAAGTTTCACGCTCGTACAATTGCTATTAATTTACTGTTAACGAGTTTCTTGCGTAACTCCTTACCTCTCCAAGACACTCTTTAAATGAGGTGAAAGATACAACACTTGTCATTGCATAATCTTCTCACGTACTGTTCTGTAAGATCACGCTGAAGTCGATACCGCCGTTTATTTTCCGTTCAGTACTGCTCCCAAGAGGCAAATTAAAATTTGTAGACACGACAGAGTTTATACACACGCTAGCTTAGTCAAATAATAATGTTTCTTTCCGTAGACACTTTCCGATATACAAGTTTGTTTTTGCAGTACAGCAGTTACATGTACATAATTATTCAACAGCAAACCTATGGATCGTCTCCGGTCAAAACTGACCTTGAATCAAGCTTCTTCTCATTGATGGAGATTTGTTGCTCTTCCACTCAGTATCGCATGTTGATGTAAAATTTCTCCATAGTTACGAACTATTCAGCTGTTTTGACCGTCATTATTTAACATTTCCACGCCAGGCTAGAGAGGCCACCATTTGAAATTTCAAGAGCTAAACAAGAAACTTTAACCAGACACACGTTTGGGTGTCTTTGTAATTATCAGAAGACTGACCTGAACGCAATTAATCAAAGCTTCTTTCGAAAAAAACAAAGCTTAGCGTTTAGCGCCCAAGCAATTATCACATTAGGAGACAATGGAAAATTTGGGACGCCCGAGAACGAGGCAAAAGACAAGAACTTGTACTAAACGTTTGAACCGCTCGCCATACTGTAATAATAATAATAATAATAAGGACTTTATTTATAGAGGGGGACACGTAACAGCTGAAAAGCTGACAAACCTGTGGCCCTCTAACTAGATTATACAGCATTACAAAATAATACTAATAAATAGATAAATATACAAATAATTACAAAATTCTATGATAGAAATAGCAGGATATATTAAAAATATTCAGAAAGATAAAATTAATTTATAAAAAATTAAAATTAGATAATGTGCTATTGCTTAATATTGTTTCAAAGTTGTCCAGGTTTCTATATGAGCTTATAAAATACTTTTTCACAGCTGTTTTGAATAGTTTTATACTAGGCTTATTTTTGATATTATGGGGAAGGCTGTTCCATAACTTAACTGCGTCAACACTGAATGCCTTGCCACCATCGTTATTTCTTAGGTATTTGGGACACACTAAATTTAAATTGCCATGTCTAGTAGACCTATTGTGTACAGAACTGTTCGTCTTGAGCAAGTCTCTGATGTAAATCGGAACATCGCCTTTAAGGCTCTTAAAAATCATTGTACACTTATTTAGTTTGATTTCATCAAAAAAAAGGCAACCAGCCTAGTTTACTAAAGTTTATAACACTTCTAGAATAAGAGTCAACTCCAAGAATTACTCGGGCAGCCCTTTTCTGTAACCTTAGGAGACAGTGGAGTTCTTTAGAATATATGTATGTCTCTGCAATGTGTAGGTACGCCAGGTTGCTACGTCTTGTAATCTTCAACAGAAAGAAATCTATTCAATATTCAGAGTTTGATTCGCTAACACCCTTTTATTTAACAAACTAAGAACCTCATCCTTAATTAGTTCAGATTAAACACACTTAGCTCGGAACGCCTTCTCGCTTATCAAAAGACACCGACAGTTTTCCTCCGCTAACTTCATCCCTAATCCCGCAAAACTGATTGAACCTCGAATACAACTTAGTTCATGAGCGAGTTCTCCGTATTCTTTCAAGAATCTGACTGCGAAATGCGAAGATCATGTCGATTCCTTGGTGTTAACCTTTCAACTCCCAAGAGTGACCAAGATAGAATTTCTCCTGTCAATATCAATACAACACCAAGCTGGTGATGAGAATAACTTGAAAGAATTATTTCAATCAGGGGATTATTAGTTGATCCGATACCAAATTCTCCGAACTAAGATCATAAGAATTGTATAGCAGACAGTAAGGAGATTTACTAATGTGATCCTATTAAACACCTTCCTTTTTTGAAAGTCATGGTTTGTTCGGTTTTCAATAAACGAAAGGCCCGCCAAACGTTAAACAAAGTCTGTTAAGCAGAAAAGCCTAATTTAAGTCCATCATTTGTATGAACGCATGGAATCAGGGGTTCGTAATTAATAAAATTTGACGTCATGTAGATCCGTTTTCAGCCGCTAATTCGACACTAATCCGCTAATATCGATCACGGTCAAATTTCATGCGCGCTTCTTTTGTGCGACACTCACGAATTACGAGTGTCATGCGTGCGAGAGAAACCCTGTCAAACTTTTCATAATAGCTGGCTTTATCCCTCGAGATAACTGTTGCTGTCTGTCACATTTTAGTTGCAATTATTTTTTTAGGACAGACATAAGAAAAGTGGTCTGAAGGAAAGAGTGTGGTGTCAGTTTGCACAGTGCGGTGAAAATCGTTTGGCGTTACCTAATTTAGCTGAGCAAGCATTTTATAAGATCTGCAACAATGTTTTCCTTACCTCACCTTCAAATTGCATATATCTTTCTTGAATTTTTTCGCTTTTCTACTTTCATCCGTCTTCCCTGACAATTTACCGCTACCAGGAGCCTATTACCCGGAGCTTCCATCTGTCATACTTACCCTCTGAGTCAAACCTGTCCCGTAACTATTTATTTTTAGAAGCACCTCCCACGGGGTTTTTTACTGGTGTTTCTATAATAGCCAATCACAAGAAAGCTGTGGTCCTCTATCGTTTACGTCACATGCTGGCCGCACGAAAGTATTTCAATAATGGCGAAAAGCACGGAAAGTTTAACAATTTTTTTAGGGTGTTACGCGAACGTCAGCGTGTGTTTTCGCGGGAAATGAAAGAACCCCCCCCCCCCCCACATATCTCAGTTCTAAAAGTAAAAAGATACGGGACAGGGTTGACTCAAGGGTACAATTGGTCTGGAGGCTCTGGGTAATGGGTCCCCGACCGCTACCCATTTATATAGGGTCTCGATGAGATTAACCGATAGCCGTAAAATGGCTAAAAGCATTTAGCAGTTACGATAGTCGTAAAAAAAGTTAAGCGTAATAAAATTCTCTGGTGACAACAATGGAATGATATGAACCGTTAACCGTAAAATGGCTAAAATTTTAACCGTTAGCCGTAAAAGCCATCGCCCCATTGAGGCCCCCTTTATACTCCTGGGTGGAAAGAGGCACTGTGAGATTAAAGTTTTTTGCCCAGAAACACAACGCAATGACCTGGCCAGGTCTTGAACCCAGACCTCGCAACACAATTACTCGGTCATTAGGCAACTGCGCATGCGTCGCCCACATAATAATTAGGAACAGACATGGACGATTCATCAGCCAAGACAAATGATGAAGACAATAGCGACCATTACGACGAGAACAGAATCATACTCTATTTGCATTAAACTACTAATTAGATTGCACTCTACCAGTCTTTCTAATTAAATTTTTTTCCTCAAATTTTAAAGCAATCATAGAAGGCTTCTCAAACTTGGTAACACTCGGCTGAATCCACTTTTCTTTAACATATCAACGTTTACTATCTTCGACCTTCGTAAGTGAATAATCAACAAAGATTTGTTTATTAATGAATATTTTTGCTTGAAAATAATAGTATAACTGATTAGATATCTAAGTTATTGGATCCAGGAAACTTAAACTATAATGTCTCCATAAATACTCCATATCTTTTTCTAGAGTTAAGTCCTAACTCCTGGAATGTAATTTTAACCAGCAGCTTATACCTCATTCACACCAAAGTTTAAACATGTTTTAAAACTGTTTTGTTCGACACGGTTAAATTTATTTTTCTTCAAAGAATTAAGCTGCTTCAACCGATGTCTATCTTGTTAAAATTTGGCGCTTGAAAAACAAGTTCTTGAGTACTTAGAACTAATGGGAAATTCAGTTTTCATTTCTGTTTATAATTTTCCCTCGACTAAACGCAGTTTAACTAACTAAACAGGTTTTGCTGGTGTGAATGAGGTATTCGTTAAGTAACTTGTTCATCCTCTGCAAGAGTCGGTCGATCAAATTAGAGAACATTACTGATGTATCAATATAATATGCTGCTTGGTATTATCGACGGCATGGAGCGCCCTCTTGTTAGAACAGATGGTGTAGTGTTTGATCGTGAGGTATACGTGCTTTCTTTTGGACTCCATGCGGAGAATGGAGTCGAGCCATTAAAATCTGTGGAAAGTTCGCTAAATTTAGAATCACTTTCCTTGTCCGGGGTTCGTTTATTTCCGGTCGGTTTTTTATCTCCTGTCCTAATAGAACTATCCGAAAGCCTCCTTTGAGGCATTACTTTATCATTTTCCTTCGAAAAGGAGTTGAAAATTTCCAAAGCCCTATTTTCTCGCGTGTCCGTTGCAGCACTGTGAAGACCATTGTCCAAAGTTGGTTTACGGCGAGATCTTTGCAGCGCTTTTTCGATCGCCTTTTTAAGATCTGGCGTATATGGAATTTTAGGTAAAACGAGGCTAAGGTTCTGCAGTTCTTGGGAAGGGCGGTGATATAGTTTTAATCTCCCTTCAACCGGAGGCGTCGAATTCGTAACGTTAGAATTTTCTCGTCCTTCTCTATGTCGCGCAGTTTTTCTTCCACTGTTGGTTATACCATTGAGTGTAGCACCTAATCTGCCGTTTTCTGAAAGTATTCCGTTTGACTCGCGATTTGAGACACCCTTTGTCGTTCTGTCTTTAGTTTTGTTTTGTTTACCACGAGTCGCTTCGCACCGGCGTTCCGCAGCAGCACGATTTCTGGAGCTCTGTTTGTTCGCCGATCCATCGGTGTTTTTCACACTGGCAGTTTTACATTTGCTCAGTCGGTCCCATTTACTTGGAATAAGAAAAACCTCCTCGTTTAGGTCGAACCGCACCTTTTTCGTGAATTCGGAATCTTTTTTCCCTTCCATGGCGGTTTGTAACGAGCGTGAAATATGTTCGAATGTCTCCTGCATTCACACCAAGCTTTGTCTTGTAAAAATTCAAAGTCTCACTGTCTCTGCAGCTTTTTAGCGCATATATGACAGTTCTATACCAGCCAAGCTTTCATCTTGTGTAAACATTTCTTCAGAAGTAACTTTCACTTTTTTGGCATTTGGCTCAATGCTTTTAAAGCTCTTTGACAGGATGTGGATCTGTTATAAAAGCTGAAGTAGTGCTTAATCTACGTAACAGAGGAGTAATATGCGTTTGAAAAATATTTCCTTTTATAGTAGATTAAGAGGTGATTATATACCAGTTCTGTCCATTAGTCATCTGCGAGCAGAGCTTTTACAAAACAGCGTTCGGGAAAAATCTAATTGGCCCGAATATATTGGCGAGACTATTGAAGTTTTTGGCAGTGTCATGACAATTCATTCGACGTCAAAATTCTTACTAAATAATGCATGCGTTTACCAACTTCTAATCCGCTAAATACAGTGGATTTCCTAGTTCTTTGAAAGCCTTACAAAGCGCTGAGGAAGTTATTTGTCTCGTAGCAATTACGTCAACGAATCTTTAACGCATTTAATAAGGTCTCCTGAGAGACTAACGGACAGAAATTCTTTCTTAAATTATTATCACTCGCCAGAGAATTGGAGGAGGCCAAAGGAAAATTGAGATTTTTCAGCTTTGATGAAAACACCTCGATGTGAAGTAAACAGGCTTAGGAAAAATAAACAACTGCTCTGAAAAGATGAACAAGTTAATTAGATTTCTATGCTAATCTACAATGGTGTGTCGGGTTTTGTCATCTCAGAGTTTGTTTTCATCCTCTTTCTCGGCTCGCTCTGTACACTAATTAGACGAAAACAGATTTTTGTCGTAACTTTCCACTGCACTAATTAAGGACTGGAAATTCGCCGAAGATTTGTATTTTGTAAATCGAGAGATAGACCATACCTATCATCAACTATTGCATAAAAAAGAATTTAAAAAAAGCATCTGTTTTTGTGTGACTAACATTTGAACAAAAAATTTAGTCGATGCTTGAAAAATTAAAAATAATTTTCCGCGATTATGTAATTATTTTGTTCACTATTCACGCGCCCACGCGAGAAGGCGCGAGTCGGTCTTCCGTCCCACGGGACAAGAATGAAGTGCCTGCAATACACCAGCAGTATTATCTTCTGCGCATATTATGTAAGCGCGGAAAAGCAATATGGCGGCCGTCTTGCACAACCTTCGATGTTGCGCATTTCGACCTCTTATTGTGGAAGAATTGCAGATCAGGTATTAGTACAACTTCCGTGGTATAGAGAGGTTTGCTCTTAAACTAAATAGCGAAAAATAACTCATTTATTTTCACTTTTGTCGTGGCAGATCTTGTCTTCGCGGTTTACGAACAAGTCCGTGTGCCTTTGGTTTGGAAGAGTTTTTTCCACCTGAAGTGTTTAAAAAAGGAGAATTAGCTAAAGAGAAAGTTCATACAGGTAAAATTGTAGAAAATTTATAGATTGCATTCGAGGTCACTTAGTTTCATCGCATTTAATCAGAATTGAGGTATTATGCAATTCTCATAGTTTAGTCTGATCCGGTGACTGCTAAAAAGATAACCCTTACTGGACTTGTATTATTTAGTTGGTCTAAACCTTGGAAATTCTTTGGATTATAATTCAAAGCATCACTATTTATCACTAGCTAGTCAGGTTTGAAGACCTTTACTCTTTGATCACTCCCAGATATCTACTTCCTTCTTACCTTCATGAGTTATATTCTTTGGGCTCGCTTTTTGTGGCATATACAACAGAATATTCAATTATTTGGAAGCTACTGCAAGGTGTTGAAATGGTGATGAAAAACAGATGAATGAATGCTTTACTGTTTGCTTGATTACTGAATGACTGAATTATTGTTGCATTGATCCAATGATCTGAACAACTCATAACAACCATATACAAAGGCAACTGACTCATTTACTGAACAACTGATTGACTGACCAAACAACTGACTGATGGAATAACTGCCAAACTGACTCCCTGAGTGGCTGAACAAGTGTCCTTCCAACCAACTGCCAGACTGATTTACTTACTGACTTATTGACTGATGTACAGACTGATGAACTTACTGACTCTCTGCCTCACTGATTGACAAGCTGACCTGCTGACGAACTACCTAACTGGCTGACTTGTTAACTTATTAACTGACTAATTGTTGGTCAGTGACAAACCCATTGACCAACCAAATGATCATCATTGACTGGTTGTGAATGACTCACTGTCAGACTGATCAGTTGAATAATTAATTGAAAGACATCAACAGCACATTACCTCATGTGATTTCACACAGTGTGTTCAGGATAGCAGAATTTTATTTTAAATGTATTGACTCTCTATTAATAAGTCATCAATATGGTCTTTTAAGGTAGAAAATGGCATGCTGGAGAACTGAGAGGGAAAAGTAATGAAGACCTTCATAAATTGTGGTAAGAGTTTCTGTCAAGAAAAAATAATCCAGCACTGATCAAACTCAAATACTGAATTAATACACGTTGTCCTACAGGTATGTTCTTCTGAAGGAGAGGAACATGCTTATGACTTTGAAGCATGAAGCAAAAAGACAGAGTTTTCCAATGCCGTCTCCTACAAGAACCCATAAGGTAAAAGATGAAGAGCTTGTGTATTGTCAATCAAATTATGAACAATAAGTACACATCAAAGAGAAAATAAAAATGAAACTGTTTGGAAAAAAGTTTACATTAGTAAGGAATAATTCCAACCAAAACATACACAGTGACTGACTTAGAGACAGTAAGGATAATTACTAGTGAGATCTGAGGAGTAGAGCAGCTGAGTGATTCACATTAAAATTTGAAAAAGAAATTCTCATTATTTAAACAGTGCAGCTATGCTAAGTCAGTCACCATTACTTTTTTTGTATTCAGGTCCAGAAGTCAATGGCTGCAATAAAACAGGTGCTTTCTGAGAGGGTAAGGAATTAGTTACATGCAGTTTTATGCTTCCATACAAAAAGTATGTACAGTGAACTTTTTGTTTTGTTGTTTATAACTATATTTTGTTTTCTTTTTAAGGAAAAAGCAGTGAAAAGCTTAGAAAATGAAGTCTGGCCATTTGATGCAATTCCAGAAGTCAAACCACCTACAGCCATGGAAGAAGCAAAGGCTGAGTTTTCTGACAAGAAGAAAGATTACCGTGATTTGGTCAGAATTTTAAAACAGGGAATTAAAGTTGCACAATGAAAATGACCTGTGCTTTTCCATAACAAACTCAGAAAGAAGAACTAGGGCTCCAGATTGTGACAGGTATGGGCACCAATGCCGCCTTAGTTTTCCCGCTAGTGACCAAAAGTTCTGACCTAGTCACCTGCTGACTAGGTGTTTGTATTGCATAAAGGGGGTAAGTTTCTAAAGAAACTGTGGTGCTGTGTCAGCGGGAGAGTATAGTAGGTAATTTAGTGTTAACTACTGAGTTGAAAATGTAAAATAGCCACTGTAAAGCCTTTTTCTTTTAGTTTTTTTTTTAACTCTTTGTTGTGGCCAATTTACATTTTCAACTCAGTTGCTAACACTAAATTAGGTGTTTGTATTGTTTTAAATTCAAAGACAAACAAACCAAGTACAAAAGCACTTCATGTTGTCTGTTTTACTTCTGCCTTGAGAAAAATGAGGGAACTGGCATTAGCAAAGCCTGTTGCCATCTTACCTCCATCCTTAGACACACATTCTAAGTATGTGATTTCTGTTCCTCCTTTTCAATAGGGCACAGAATTTCAAGTACTTAATTCATTTAATTAATTAAATGCTGTTCTTATGGGTAGACATGGATTCAGCTTTTGAATTGGTGACTAGAAATTTACCACTAGCAATCATAGTTGCTATCTAGACACCAAAAGACAATTAAGGAATTTATTCTAAATTTTGGGTCCTGAGTATAAATGCAGCAAGTCAGAGCTAAAAAAGATACCATGTTTATTGCAATTGAGATGAATACATTATAAAATTTTGCAACTACAAAATTTCAACTTTTTTCTTATTTAATTTAAAAAATTAACACAGACTGGGCAAAGCTAGAAAAGTACCATTTAGAGACAATACTTTTTTCCATCACGACTTACAATGTTATGTGTCTGGATTCTTTTATCTTAGAGTTAATTTTACAAAGTTTGATACAGCTATTTTTTTACCCTTTCACTCCCAAGATCTAATTAGTAATTCTCCTTACTATCTGCCATACAATTCTTATGATGATAGTTCAGAGAATTTGATATTGGATCAACTAATAATCCCATGATTGTTATTCTTCTCTATTCTCATCACCTGCCTGCTTGATATTGTATTGATATTGTAAGGAGAAATTCTGTCTTGGTCACTTGTGGGAGTGAAAGGGTTAACATTGAAAAATATCATGAAATACAATTTAGATAGAGTGTTATTACTGTAACATTAATGTACAATGTAATAAATTAAATTGTTGAAATGTGTCTAAAGATTTTTCATGTTTTTTTTTTTATTTTTAACTTACATATGCAGGAGGTACAGTCTAAGCTGGTTACCAGGGCCCAGTTGTTTGACAGCTGATTAGCGCTAACCCAATGTTAAATTTTAATCTGGGTTTCTTTCATTTATTTGTTCAAAAGTCTATTTGGAATAATTTTTTGTATCCTCTTTCAAGCATCCAATCACAATATTGTAGACAGAAAGAATTATGCTGGATTTTATTTGAAAGCTTTCAGATCTGAGCCTAGTTGTTCAAAGCTGGTTTAAGAGAACCCAGGGTTAGAGTGAAATTTTATTTCAGATCTGAGAGCTTTAAACAAAAATCCACATCAATCCTTTTTCCTACAATTTGAAATTGGATGGAGAAAATTAATCCAAAAATGCTTTTGAATAAAGAAATATAGAAACCTGGACTAAAATTTAATCCTGGGTCAGCACTAATCTGTGTTAGAAAAAACTGTTCCCTGACATCAAATTTTGCACTAATCCTAAGTTATCGTAACCCAGCTTTGAACAACTCAGCCTAATGGTCTACCACTGCCTATAAGACCTCTTACTGTCGTCAAATTTGGCTGCGAGCAGGCCCTGGCATTTGGGTTTTCATGTACCACCCCTTCTCCAGGCACAGCTTTCTATTACACCATCACCTGTTGCTTATGGAAAAAGTTAGTGAAAGCCTTGCTTGTTTGCCACTACCATGGTGAATCAAACTCCAGCACAGCTGCAGTTTTTGTTCTTGCAGATTGTATTTTTCTTATCCGTATACACTTTGGACATTTGTTCTCAGCAATACAAGCCTTGTGGTACAGAGCCTTGCATTTTCCACACTGAAATTTTGAGCAAATAAGAGCAAAAAAGGTCAGCTTGGTTTAATCAGGAATCAGTACAAAAACATTGTTATTTATCAATGTATGCCTTAAATTCTGAGTGCTATGATGGTTTCTCAATCAATTTAAAACCACAAAGCAGCTTGAAAAAGCAGAATTCTCCCACTAAATTTCAATGGCCTTAGCTTTTTCTCTTCAGCTATACCTACTTTTATATGTCGGAGTGAAAACCCGGCAAACCTTCTTTCTAATGTTTTGAGCACCTTAGAAGTTTTTGTGGTGCATCATGAAGAAACATTGTGGGACAGAATATTTCTCTTATGAATTTCTTTGTGAGTGAATTTCTTTTTTTACCACATTTGGCAGGAATATCGCAATCAGATAGCCCAGTTTGCATTCATTATTTTGTTGATGAGAGTACAAGTAACGCTGTTGCATCAACGTAATGCAATGCCTTTATCAGCTCTCAAACATGGATGATTTGGAAATTTTGGCATTGATATTGTGGTAAAAAACAAATTGACATCATACAATCAACTCATACAGTAAGAAGTTTAATTAACAAATTGACAGTGGATTAGTGTGGTCTGTACTCTTATCAACAACAGTGTAATAAAGTTATCATAGTGAACTCACTTGGATGCATCTCATGAGTCCACAACATTTTGACCACTGTGATGACTGATATCATTGTTGATAAGAGTACAGACTATACTAAACCACTGTCAATTTTTTCATCAAATAAACTTCCTTTTGTATGAGTGGAAAATGAGGAAGTGTTGAGTCAAGTCACATGATGTTTTGTATGTGACATGACACAAGCCTCTCTTGCTTTTCACGCTGCCACTCCTATCACATAGCTACTAGATTACTCCATTTCACTAACTGCATGCCTAGAACAGGAAACTTTCCAACTGTATACTGCTAGTCTTCTCCAGGTGATGAAGTGTGCAAACAACTGGTTATGCATATACTCTTAGAGCAGATAGCTAGTTGTAATATGTCAGCTTATGAGACCTAACAAACCACTGCCATTTCTGATGATGTTTAAGTTGAAACATAACATTTAACCCCATCTCTTGAAGAATACAAGCATTATGCGAACATTGTGCATTATGCAATTACTATTAGTAGAAACATTGCAGTCCGTTTTGAAGTGATCTCAGTTTAAGACAAATGTTAATATTTGTACTTTCATATTTCATAATAGCAATAAACAAAACCTTTTCACAGCATGAAAAGAGATGTCAGGCTGCTTATATGCATTATCATCTGTATAACAGTGGGTACAAACTGTTACTGGGTGAATTGGTAGTAAAGTAATGATTAATATTACCTGAGTTGTGGTTTTCACTTCAAATGGATAGATGATTTTTGGGTCATTGCATATTTCACAGAAAAATCCTTTTTGACAACAGAGCTGAAAGGAAAAATGCTTAACTCTTTAATAATTTAATGTACCTCTGCATTAATGGCAGAAAGAGGAATGACCTGCTCATTTACTTAGTTAGGTCATCAGGTGAGACAGGAAAATAAATGGCTCTTGGTCATGATGCATGCTTCAAGTGCAGCAGGTCTGTATGTCAGTAGCTCAAGCCAATTATTTTCCCATGCAGTCCTCCCACTCAGTCTATTAACTCTCTACAGCCTATATCAGTATTCATATTCTCCCTACTGTTCTCTACACAAATTGTAAGGTGCTGACAAGGAGAATTTGTTCAACAATCAAGAACCTCTTAATAGTTTGTGATCGTTTCCTTTATTCTTGTGACCTTAATGTTTGACTCAGGGCTGGTCTTATAAGGAGAATTTAAATGCTTGTCACTCCTAAGGATTAAAGGGTGAAGTACATTATATGGGAAGAAGTAGTTTCCGAGCACTGATCTATTTCAGTCACTACAGTCAGGATTTCTCACCTTACACTTGTACACATGCTTTGTACAGTGGGCAATGACCTTTTTAAGATGATGAGCCAGCTGCCCAGATTGCACTTGAATCAAATCCTTTAACACAAATAAAAAAAAGTAAACTTTGTAAGCAAACACTATGTATCACAAAATTAACATTACTGAAACTGCCATTACTTTAAGAGATGCATCTCTTGAACAACACCTCTCCACAACTGCTGATTAAGTGCAATGTCACTGTTATTAATAACAACCTCTTGAACCTTTCAATCCCAAGATCTCATTTGACAATAATTATCATTAATAGTAATTCTCCTGACTGTCTGCCATAACATTCTTGTGATTTCAGTTCAGAGAATTAAGTATTGGATCAATTACTAATCCCCTAATTGATATTTTTCTCTACTCTCATCACTTGTCTGCTTGATATTGTATTGATATTGTAAGGAGAAATTCTGTGTTGGTCACTCATGGAGTTAAAGGGTTGGAAACAGCTTGGCAATCACCAACCAACAAATGGTTTAGAAAAGTGCCATGCTGCAACCTAGCGGACATTAATCTTGACAACTTTATTTCACAAAAAAATAAATAAACATCTGAAACACTCAAAGTGACTGTACACCAGTCTTTCTGACAATTTTCCTAAAGGCATTTCATTTCACAAATAACATATATAGTGATATATTTCTTGGGAGTGATAAAATATTTGTGAGATAGATAAAGCCTGCCCCTCCCAAAACACACATAGAATTTTACACCCCTCCCCCCCTCCACAAGAAAAAAAAACTGCAACCCCTTTAACCAAGTCCACCTTCCATTGTCCCCAAAATGGCTCTAATACAGTGGGGTTCCAATGTAAAATCAAATTTTAAGGTTGACACTGACCAGTAAGGAATACTGATGGATATCATCCCAAAGATATTCCCGAGGCCAAATCCTTCTCCTCACATCCTCTGCTATTGGATCTTTACAAGTAAAAAGGAAGCCTTTTAAGTGCTGTAGCTGTGATCTCAATACCTGTGAATGAAACATGACTCAGAAGATCAGTCTAATAGTGCCTTTGGTTTTCCAAATTAAAGTGTCTTCAGCAATTGATATTAAAATTAAATAAATTTACAAAGGCCAAATGATCTGAGGGTATGGTTGTTTAGTTATGAGGAGATCACACAGCCCAAGAAACCAAGTCTTGTTTAAGATCTGAGTGTTAGCCCTTTGTCAGAGCCATTGATTGAGCCTTTAAACTCTTTACAGTAACCTGAATTTACCCTTTCAACTCAGTTGTTAACACTAAATTACCTTTTATACTCTCCCCCCGACACAGCACCACTGACAGTTTCTTCAGAAAAAACCCCCCTTGACAAAATATTGAGAATGTGCTGAACTGTGTGTGTATATTTTTTTGACACTTTGCAGAATTAATAATCTTGGTATACAGACTCAGCACTTGCATGATAGAAACAGGGACAATCTTATCATTACAGGCTCATAATACTAATATCTATCTCAGAAGTTGTTTTTAAAAGATTGCAATGTTGCTATTATAATCATGGTAAACTTTTGTGCTGAAAAAAATTAATTAAAAGTATCTTGACATGTTGAGAAATAATTGAGAATTTTATCACTGCCATTTTCAAGACCAACCTTAACTTCAAGTAACTCCTTGATTACATTGTACAACGTAGGATTTGTTTCATCAATATTAAACAAAGGTTCTTCCTCTATCTGCATCAGGAACATCTTGCACTTTTTAGCGACTTGGTGTTTACGCAGATCCCAGTTGTGAATCACCCTTGCAGGTATGACATGTTCTTCATTTTCATGACATTCAAAACAATAGTAGCTGGCATCATAGGTACAAACTTTAAATTCTCCATAGATCATTCCTAAATAATAATAAACAAAACTATTGGCAAAATAAATTTTAGGCACCATTAATTCACCCTTTAACTCCCAAGATCTCATTAGTAATTCTCCTTACTATCTGCCTTACAGTTCTTGTGATGTTTGTTTGGAGAATTTGGTATTGAATCAATTTTTAATAGTCCCCTCACCGATATTTTTCTTTATTCTCCTCACTTGTCTGCTTGATATTGTAATGATACTGTAAGGAGAAATTCTGTCTTGGTCACTGGTGGGAGTTAAAGGGTAAATTGTTTGATTAAGGTTGTCAACAATTTGTGTTTGTTTGTTTGTTAGTTTTTAAGCCTTTCAAGTACATTAGAACTCATCCCAGTTTTCAATTCAGGAAACTGCAAATTGACTTCACATATAACTTTACTGAGAATTGACGACAAATTATTCAAGTTTTGCTGCTAGCTGCAAGCCATAAACTTTTACAAAAACGACTTTATTAAACTTGATATTTCCTGATCTTGTTTGCTTTCTAAAGAGGTACCCAGTGGGTCAAAATCTTTTTCCTTTTTCTTCACAATGCAGGCAAGCCATTTCAAAAATGAACTGATGCCAAATGCTATAACTCCAGGCCTTTGTTGTAAATCTAACACACCATTCAAAGTTAAACAAATGGTAAAACAAAAGACTGCTCCATACATAAACACGTTTTTTGCATGCATTTAGGGCCAACTACCTCTAAGTTGTACTGTAGCATGACAAGAATTTACAACATTGCTTCTTTTGAATTGGATGCCAGTCCAAAAGATTATAAACCAACAAATTTTCTTAACCACAAGCATTCCCTCCGTTTTCTGCTGAGTCAATCATACGAGTTAAACAAAAAAAACATTGCAAAAAAGGAAATTGTTGCTAGAGAGCTGCATGGAACTTTGGGAGTGAATCACAGCACCCTTAATTTTATCTCCAATTTTTCTTTTTTTGCTGAAAATGAGAGAGTCATCCTAGTAAACACATTCTCATGTTTAGGGGACAGTTCATTGGTACATACTCTTCAGTTGGGAGAATATAAGGACTATGAGAGTGGATTGTCTTGTTCACACACACAACAGATTGATTCAGCCTGGGCTCATACCCTCACTACTAGATGAACTGGACACTATACATGCAATACTCAATGCTCATCCAACAATATGTCTCTTTCAGTAAAACATGTAGAGCATGGAGGTCAACATGACAGTAAGGTAGGTAAACTGGGTGTGATGCCCCCTTAGAAAAATCCAGACTATGCCCCTCACTGCACCAACTACTGAGAAGTCACTCACCTTTAATGTTAATCACAGTAACAATGATTTTTACTAAAGAAAACAATGACCCACCTATGTTTCTCCCACATCCCTTGCATTGATAATTTTGGTTGTCCAACCCCTGCTCAGTGGCAATCTCTGTCACTAGTGTCATCAACTCTGAGGAACGATTGTCGCCATGGTTTGAGTGCACCGAACTACTTTTCTGCAAAACCTCAAAGCCAGAAGCTGTGATAGTTTCGGATAGTTGCATCTCAGGTTTCCTCTTTGTTTTTGGAATCTTAACATTGAGAGATTGATACAATTTGATTTGTTAATCTCAATATCAATATTAATAGTCATCATCAATCTTTACCCGTGATTCATAATTGTCATTCTAATTAATGCTTTAAACTCTAACATCAGTATGTAAATTCTCCATACTGATCTCTATACACTTCCAAAGGTCACAGTTGACAAGGAGAATTTGCTTAAAAATCCAGAGCCTCTTTGTTTGCTGATCATTTACTTTTACTCTTGTGAGCTGGATATGTGATTCAGGGGTGATATATTAGGGAGAAATTAGATGCTAGTCACTCTTCAGGGTCAAAGGATTTAAAAGTATTGTTATTGAAAACCACAAATTGCAAACTGCTGCTGCAGTAGCTAATTCTTGCAGATGGATTACGACAATCTAAAAAACTTAAATTCCTAAAAACTGACATGCTTCATAGAGGACTGTTTCTTTGCTTTCAAGCTATTGACCCTAAGCCTCCACTCCCATTATCTCAGTCAGTCAATGGTAATTCTCCTCAATAATGGTCATACATTTCTCCTAATGTAAGTTATGAGAATTTGGTGTTGGATCAAATGATAATCCCTTGGTAAGTTTTCATTTTTCTTTATTCTCACCACTTGTCTGCTTGACATCTTATTGATTTTGTAAGAAGAATTTATGTCTTTGTCACGTATGAGAATGAAAGGTTTAACCAAATATTGTCAAAAAAAGCTAAACATGAACCTGACTACTTTGCACCTGCTTTGGTTGTGTTGGCACTGCACCATCAACATACACAGGGGGCTCAAATCTTTTTCTTCCCTGGACACTATAATCCCTTAACAGAGTCCCAAAACTGGGTGCTTGTGTCTTTGTTGGGATTCTGGGACTGAGCCTCTCTTGAGGACTGGGAAGTGGGCCGGCAGTGTCTGCCTGGTCATTGCAGCTACTGCCATCAACAGCATCCACTACAGCCTCAGTTTCAAATGTTGATGACCAGCCACTAGACATCCCCAGTTTGTTGCTGCCTCCTAAAGGAGTTGGGCTGCAAGTGTCTCGTTCACTGTCATTGGAACTAGTTGGAACTTCTACTACAGCTGGTTGACTTCCTACAGCTGTAAGATTTTCAATAAGAAATATGAGTATCAATAAAAAAAAAAGGATGGTATATGTTGAGCTTGGTCATTGAATAGCACCCCTACTCTAATAAGCACCCTTCCTGAAAAAACTGCCCAGCCCCTAAGCCATAATGTCAAGCACCCCTCCCAAATAAACACCCCACCCCTCCTACCTCAATTTCTTAAATAATAACACTACAAGAGATACCTGCCTCTATTGCCACTTAAAGCTTTAACAACAGTGAAATCAGTAAAAGCTAGTAAAAATAACAAGCACCCCCCCCCCCCTCATTAAGGGGTGGGAGGTGGGCCACTCCTTTCAATAAGTGCCCTTCCTTTTAGCCAAGATTTAAAGCAAGTGGCTGGGTGCTTATTTAAGGAAATACAGTCTGTAGGATGTCATTTACTTCCTAGGATAATCTTAGGAATTCCTAGGAATTCCAAAATCCATTTCGCATGGGTTGTCACAAGTATGCAACAAAAATGTTAACATGCCTCATTTTTTGAGGGAACAGAAAAATTGAACACTCAGTGGAGTAATACATTCCAAACTATTAATAAGAATTAACAAGGACTCCTTCTAGTATTCCTTCTGAGCAATAATGGGGGTTTTGAGGAATTACAATCTATAAGAATTTGTGTTGAGGAAAGCAATCAAATGAAATGATATTTCATGTTACCAAGTGTAAGCGAATGCGACTGGAAGCTGCATTTTTTAGTTAATAAATCTGAACTGACATTAGTTCAAAATCAGTCCAACTCCAACATCAAAACAATATTTCACTGGTTTCTTACATGGAGCAAAGTAACTTTTTTATGGAGCGAAGTGACTTTGATTATGGAGCTAAGTGACTTTTGGTCGGAGCAAAGTGACTGGGGGTGAAATGACCATTTAAGGGCAAAATGACCATAATTCTGATCAAGATTTGCATACAGTCTGATTAAAGTACAGGTGGGCTGCCTGGTTAGTCCTAAAAATGTGACTGACATTTCGACAGCCTGAATGGAAGTTCTCAGTTGGCTCTTGACTAAGAAATTAACTTTTGCTCAGGCAGGAAAAATGCAATCCTCTTTTAACTAACCACATCCGAATGATCCAACTACATGTACATGATACCAATTAAACATCTTTGTGTACATATAAGTATTAACTATTAATTAACTATTAACATCTACTTATAATTATTATTCGTAATGAAACCAATTCATCCTTTTGCTGCAAGGTACAAAAATGGTAACAAGTAAACATGTACATGAAACAACTTCACTAAATCAAGTAATGATTATTATTACAGATAATGATCAAATTATTTAGAAAGCCAATTGCTACTTATTCCCCCAAAATTATAAAAGAGAGAGGAATTTAACTGGCCACAGTTACATACCTTTTCCATCCATATTCTCCTCTGTGGAAGGCGAATTGGAAAAACTTTCTCTATTGTCTGCATTATCCATAATCATTCTCTCAGCAGGCTCTGTTTGCAACACTTGAGCTCTGCGCTTTAATTCAGTGCTCTCCTCGAGGCTGCAGCCTGCAAGTTCAGCCACCTCCGCAGTGCTGGAGTCAAAGGAACTTGTGGAGGCTTCACCTTGAGCTACATGCTGATCTCCTGGAATGATGACTGGAACAGTTGATCCTCCATGTAAAGGCATACCTAGAGAAGAGCCAATTGAAATTATTTACTTTTTACAGTAATGTAACCGGCTCTAACCCCTACAAGTGACTAGCATCTAATTTCTCCTTACAATATCACCCCTGAATCAAACATGAAGGTCACAAGAATAACAGAAATGATCACTGCCTAGTTAAAAGAAGCTCTTGATTGCCAAAGCTGGGACTGGCAGCATTTTACCATGAATATCTGGGGGGATTTGGCAAGATCCAGTTCTTCCAGGACAGATTTTAAAGTTGCAAAAATACCAATACCTTTCTTTTCCAACACACGTACATTCAAGCAACACAACCATCAAGCACTGAAATCCAACCTTTGCTTATTGAGTAACTCAAGGTTTTTCCCTAAAATTACGTTATTTGCACCATAAATTACCTGACTGTGTGTACGTAGGTGGAAGAGACCGAGGAGCCACTTTAGGTAATTGCCAAATTCCGCAGAGAGCCAGTGCATCACCAGACCATGAGTTCAAACCAGGCGTGTTGTAGTTGAAGTCAAACTTAAATTCCCCCAGGCCTAATGACCAATTGATTTCACAGTTAAAAATTATTTCTCTTTTTAAGAGATGTTTATTTCTTCCAAACTTTAACAACTTAAATTATTAAATGTACTAATTATATCTCTAGGTTGGTATGTGCACTATGATTAGTCAATTTAGAGGGCCATACTTCACTGAGCAGCACCCAGATTCAAAAGTTTGTTTGAATTGAAATCTTCTGCTCCTTTTGAAACCAGAGATATTCTCCTAGCTCTCAGCTCTTACCTTGTAAGAAAGTTTTCATGATAGATGGAAGTTCTGAATCCAACATAAAAGATGAACCTTTGTAGAAATATCTGCAAGATACAGGACCCTAGTTAATCAGTGTCAAAAGTGACTCGACCATTAAACCTTAAACTCCCAAACTCTGATCATTAATTCTCTCCCCAACTGCTACACGTTTTCTTGTATATTACCTTCAAGAATATGATGTTCGATTTAGATAACATCTTCTACCAGATTATCGCTCTGACGAAGGGCTAACGCTCGAAACGTCAGCTTTTTTACCCTTTTTCAACCCAGTTGTTAACACTAAATTACCTGCTATACTCTCCCACCAACGCAGCACCACAGTTTCTTTAGAAACTTACCCCTTTATTCTACCAGATTAGTTTGAGTATTCTCCTTACCTTTCGCCCAATAGTTTATGAATATTATAGAGAGAAGTTACATGTTAATCACTTCTGGGAGTTGAAAAGTGAACCCTTCGACTCTTTCCACCCTAACATCAGTATGCATATTCTCCTTAATGTTCTTTTTACATTTCCTAAGGCGCTGACAAGGAGAATATGTTTTTCGATCAAAGGCTTCTCAAGTTGATGATCATTTCTTGTATTCTTGAGACCTTAATGTTTGAATCAGGGGTGATATTATAAGGAGAAATTAGATGCTAATCACTCTTAATTCCCAAGATCTGATTTTTTATTCTCCCCTCTAGCTGCTACACATTTCCTTGTAAGTGAATTGCGAGAATTTGGTGTTAGATCAAGACTACTAACTAATCTATCTGATAAGTTTGAGTATACTCATAACATGTTGGCTGGATAACATGTGGATTTTATAGGGAGAAGTTACATGTTTATCACTTATGGGATAGTTAATTAGTTAAATTTGCATAATTGGGAATTTTTGAGAATTCCTCTAGTAGGAATTCCCAGAAAACTGGGAATTCAGTTTGCAAAGGAACTCTTCAACCCTTGGGATTGACTGGCCTCTAATTTCTCCTTACAGTATCACCATTGGTCATGAGGTCATGAGAAGAAAGCAAATGATCACCAATTAAAGAGGCTCTTGATTGTTAAAAAAATCTTCCTTGTCAGAACCTGAGGAAATTTTTAAGAGAACAGTATGGAGAATATGCATACTGATGTTAAGGTATTAAGGGTTAATTAAGCAAAAACATCTAGCATGTAGTACTTACAGTAATTTATTTTTGTCCATCAAAATGGCGTCAAGGTAACTTTCCATTAAGCTATCATTTAAAGCAAGGCGAATCCATGCCTAGGATGTATAAACATTAGGAAGATTTTAAAAGTTATCAACAAACATCTTTTCTATCACAATTTTTAAAGATCAAAAATAAGATCTATTTGGTCTGCAGATGAATCAAGTAAAGAAATGATCCTCACAGGTTTCTAGCAATTGGAATCACAAGGAGAAGTTAATTTTTATTGATTAGAAATCAAGGTTTGAAGGGTTGAAGACTCACCCGACATCTTCCCACAGGAGTGTGGATGTGAGATAGATGTTCCAGCTCATTTAACACATCTTTGTGTGTGAAACTTGTGAGCAGGGACCAAAATGACTGCAGAGAAATTAAGACTATTTAAGTGGCAAAGTAATGAAGTAAACATATTTCCTGAGTGTACTTTTATCAACATACGAACACTAGAATCATTCATCAAAATTATAAACAAAGGCACATCATTAACAATTGGATCTATGTGTAGCTCACATGTACTGTTCCTTGAGGCTGGTTTTACTTATGATGGAGTTGGAGTCAGACTTGTTATCAGAAGTGCAGAGTGATATACTCCAGTGAAAATCATAATGGTATTGGAAGAAAAATGTTCAGACATGCTACTTGCCACTCAGTTATTTATGACCCAAGGAGAGTTGAATTGTAGGAGTTGTAAGCAAAAGACTGTACTGGAAGGGCCTGGGAACTGGCATTGTGATTGGTTGATTGTTCCACTTCTGCTTGCAACTTCAACAATCTAATTTTCTTGGATCGTAAGCATCAGAGTCATGGGCAGAATTGCAAGAAAATGAAACTGTTCTGATTCTTCTGACTCTGATTCTGTCGAACTTATGACTCCCCTTATAACTCCAAGCAAATTCTCTTGTCTGATCTCCAAGGAAAAGTATGGCAGTAAGTAGGGAGAATTACTAATTACATCTTTAAAGTTTGAGGTTTAAAGGCCTATGATTTCAGTCTCTGACTTGTTGCACACAGCCCTTGTGTTTTTCCATGTTGTAAGTGCCAGATTAACTGATTTAAACTTTCAAATTTTGCAGTCAAATGTCTCCTTAACACTGCAGTGACTAATATATCTTCTTAGAAAAACTCACATGAGTTGGCATGGCTTCTGTTGATATTTTGCCAAGGAGATTGTAAAAATTTGATAGCTGTAAAAAAAATGTATTTATAATAACAAATTAATATGAAAAATAGTGTAAGATATCAGTTCTATACTTAAATAATATCATTCATGGAACTGTACGTTGAAGATACAAATACCACCTCATAGTAGCCTCTTATGCAAACATTGTTAGGCTCCTCACATCACACAATCATTCCTCCTCACCAAATGGTGGTGGGAAGAAATGATTGCATGACTTGACAAGCCTGATGATATCTGTGTAATAGACTTCATAGCTTCATATTTATTTGTCAGTGAACCTCATTTTATTGACTTGTACTAAATTCAAATATCATACCTGGGGGTGATTTTACAAATTATTTTATTTCTCATTTCACATTTTATTAGTTAATTGTAGGTCCAGATCAGTCTCACGGCCACCACTTTTGTAACCTGCACCACTTAATAAAATGATTGATTGATTGATTGATTGATTGATTGATTGATTGATTGATTGATTGATTGATTGAGAGTTGCTTCTAATATTTTGCTCATATACCCATATCAATACTGGTTGGTAGTAATCTTTATTCTATAATGTTCTAACAAATAATGTGCATTCAGGAGATAAAGGAAGGAGAACTCAAATGTTCATCAGCAACAAAGATTTAAAACTAAAAATTTTGAAAACCCCTTCACCTTAACACCGTGATCTTGAAATCCATGAAGAAAGATGGCCTCTAGCAAAGTACTGATCATTAACGCATGCTCATCATTCCTGTGGACAAAGAAAGGATACAGTCACTCTGTCAAAGGTTATGGTACTCTTGAAATCAACCTTTTAAACTCCAGAGATCTGATTGTTAATTCTCACCTCTAGATCCTTCACATTTCCTTGTAAATTAGTTTCCAGAATTTAGTGTTTGAGCAAGATAACAACTTCTACCTGATAAGCTCGAGTATTCTCATTACCAGTCTTTTGAATATTGTATGCATCGGATATAAGGAGAATTGAGGCACATGTTGATCACATCTGGGAGTTAACCCCTTTACACCCGAACATCAGTTTGCATATTCTCCACACTCTCTCTAAACATTTCTTAAGGTTCTGAAAAGGAGAATTTATTGAACAATCAAGAGCCTCTTTAGTTGTTGATGATTTCCCTTATTCTCATGACCTTAATGTTTTATTTGGGGATGATCTTGTTGGGAGAATATAGATGCCAGTCACTGTTAACCCTTTAACTCCCAGATCAAATTTGTTATTCTCTTTACTGTCAACAAACCAAGATGTTGTATCTCCACAACAAACCAAGATGAAGTATGATAAAAAGGTTCCCTGATTGAGCATTTGGCCCCTAAAAGTGACTAGCATATAATTTCTCCTTACAATATCACCCCTGAATCACACATTTAAGTCAGGAGAATAAAGGAAATGATCACCAGTTAAAAAAGCTCTCGATTATTAAACAAATTGAATAAAGGATTGTTGTTGATGTTGCTTCCAAATGTAAATTCACAATCAACCTTTCCACATCCAAATCAGCTCCAATGTGCTTTCTCTGAAGCTAACAATAAAAGGAAAAATAAATTAGCAATAACATCACCAAAACTAACCCAATTTTTGGATAACAATATTTTGCATTGAGAGCAATCTGAGATTCAAATTATTAGGTATACATACTTCTTTCACTGCAAGTGAGAGTTCACCAATAAGTCTTCTCTTGATCTCTGCATTTCTTATCAAGTCCTCATCAGTTTCTAGATGAAGATGCACGAAGAAGAAAGAAAAAAAAAATAGAAAACGGATAACATGAAGAGTACACTGGGGTATATGGTCGCAATGGCAAGTTAGAAATTTTAATTTTGCCTCACTTTTTCTTAATTCTTCTATTTTTAAGGAATCTAGTCGAAGTAGTAATCAGTTTGAAAATCTTTCGACAACCATTGCAGGGCAAAAATTACACATTTTATGAAAGGTTATTCACAAAATAAAATAAACTCACCTGTAACCCCTGTCTTTTTCCATCCAGAAAACATTTTCGATACGAAGTATTTCGATCGAAATTGAAGAAAACAATAATCTCAAAACAACTCAATCATTATGGATCCAACACGGGTTTTTCTCTTTTTTTAAATTGTCAAAAACTTTCAAATTAAGCTCAATACAGGCGTTTCGTCCGCCATATTTGTTTTGATGAGCAATCAACTGACCATAAAGAACACAGTTCTTTCAATTTGCCATTAACACCGCTGACCGGAAACGGGATTATATGGTTTCCCGGATGTAATCAGAAGGAAGTGACAGGGGGCTGGACGGGGTAGTGGGTTACAGTCTGCATGCTGATGTGGTATTGAAATGCCCTTAAATTATCACGACTTTCTCATGTTTACACCGTCCATAAAGATGTGATGTGGTCTAAGAACGTGAAATTTGCTCAATGACCTGATTTTAGAGAAAATGACCACTAAAGTGGTTTATTTCACTGTGGGAGGAAAGCCCGAACAGGCGGAATTCGCGACCGATTTCCCCGTGGATGAAATCAAAGGTAGAATTTCAAAGTGTTTACATGTCCAGCTTGATTGCCCTCTTTTGTCGGATTATTATCAAGCTCTTTGTGTTCTTAGGGTTATTTTGTTACGAACATCTCTACTTTCTAGGTTTCGTTTCATTCATTGGGACTATTTTAACCACCTTTTTTCCTTTGACTGTTATTGAAAGCAGAATTTTTATGGACGAATTTATCTCCTTGTTCAGTTGACAGATCTCTATTTACCCGTGGCAACCTTATCACGAACGCGCCAGTACGTTCTCGGTTTTGCTTTTTTATTGCTCGCTTTGTTTTTCCGCTTATGTTTTGGATTTTTCATTGTATTTTCAGACTTGTTTCGTTGTGCAGCGGAAGCTGGCCCGTATGATATTCTGAAACTCTACAACACGAAAGGAAATATAGTAAATATCTCGCCTTCCCTTCAAGAAAACACACCAGATTCGCGCTATCGCCTGGAAGTTGTCGCAGCGAATTGTGCAAGCTGCGGGTTTTGCGGTAATATTTTTTCCTTCAAGCTGTTTTAATTGTTATGGCTTAAGAAATGAGTAGGCTGTCGGTTGTTATGACGCAAATCTTAAATAGAAAATTTGTATTTCTCGCGGCTATTAGTGACAGAACCCTGCTGCTTTTCAGCGAGCATGCTATTACGTGGTATCTTGTATTTTATTTGACAATCTGCCCAACAAATACACGATGCATTTAAGTTTATGTGGCGTTTAGTAGTTCCAATTAAAAAATGTCTTTCGGGAATATTTTTCGCTCTCTGCATAGCGCACGCCATCTAAATTTTGTAAATATTGAGTTACATTTTTGACTCTTGATTTTTTCACCGAAACAGCTAGTATGAAGTTTATGCAACGCAGTGGAGCTAAATTCGCCTCATATATTGTCGCAACGCTAATCAATTTTCTTTGTTGATCGATAAGCACAAATTCATCGAAAATGACAAGGAAGACGGATTGAGCGTATCGTATCAATTTGATCTGACCTGGCACGCTCGATCGGAACCAGACAAGGTAATATTGCACTTCAAGCGAACTTGGCATGCAACGAAATTGGCTTAAGTCAACATTTATTTTCACAAATCTTTCACCGTAACAATTCGAGTTCTGTTTCAGGCCTTTTATCTCTCTAGTAGTTTTCAAACACCTGGAAGAGCAATTTATTTTGTGAGACGTAAATAAAGACGAAAGCCTTAAAATTGTCTTAATGTTAAGAGCGAAAATATCTTCTTTTTTTTTTTTTTTCGTCGGTAACTTTTACCTTATTAATTATTTCTGACGTTCGGAAATACAATTGTCCCTGACAGGTATGTGTTAACATTTAATTTTCTTTTTTTCAATACGCTCGACAGCTAAAAGCGATTACTTGATAGAGATCTAAAATTAAAACACATGGAGAGGCATTATTCAAGCTATCATCGAATGGTTGTGGAATTTGCATATTACTTAAAACATGTCTGATTGCCTAAAAGCTTGTAGTTGTATAATGCAAAGCTAATTGATTAGATTAGGTTTGGCATATTGTTCTAAGCTGTGTTGTCTCGGTAACAATTAGAGAAAATTGCACAAACTGCCAATTTTAAAACAAAAAATTCTAATAAATACTGCAGTTGACTGTTTACCATATGTCAGCAAGGTAGTATTTAAGAATGCATTGTTGATGCCATCTCCAATTCACAGAATTTATGAAGAAAATTTATACTTACATGTGTAAATTACTTTTGGCAACTTTGTTGGTGATTTTGAACATGAAATACTAATTACAAAATTTTATCCCCACAATGGTTAGGCATTTTGTTTATTGTTTACTGTAGTAAGAATGGAATGTCTTTGGTAACCATATAGGCTCTTAAAAGGTCAACAATCACTTGGTGAAGTCATTATCAGCTCCTTGACAAGAGAAGAACATATTCTGAGATCATCAGAAAATTTTTGAAATTTCTCATTCAGATAAAAAATTTGTGAACAGCCTTTTCATCTAGGATACTTTGGATTTCATAATGTGTCTTTACAACAGACCATGTCTTTGAGATTGCATCTGTGTGTTATGGGAGCTTATAAACTGTCTATTGTTATGGTAATATTCCAAGTAATAAGTAAGCCTGAGTATTTAAAACATACAATCTTGAATCAAAATACTCTCACTGAAAAGCCCTTTGTGAAACATACAAATTACTGTCATATGTAAATCAAACTCTTTCCCAATGGGAATCACATTGAATAAATACAAATAAATAGAGAAAATCTTAGGGAAAGATAGCATAAACCCTGCTGAACACAATGAATAGAAAACAACTTTGTTGTTGCCAAGTGTTAAAATCAAAGGTCTAAGTACTGCAGTGAAGTTTCTTTTTTGTTACTGAGTTCAATTGTCCTTTTGTTTTTTTAACATTAGAAGCAAAATGAAAGGACTGAGAAAGAGACAGTTCCATTTTATAACTTGCAAGTTGCTTTCAAAATTTTCAACTTGAACCCACTCTTTTTGGAGATTTCTATAAAGTTTTTCTCTTAGAAGGGAGACTGGGTGCCCTGAGACTCTGTTCATAGAAATCTAAGATGTCCAGTTCTTGAAAGTCTACATAACAGCAAAAGTACCCAGGTCACCCAATGGCAAAGATAGTCACTTTTGGCAACCAGGCTCTGGTAGAGTACAGCCCTGTTTCACATTGATCCCTCTCCTTGGTATATGTAGACCGAATTGTTCCCTTTTAAATAACAATTTGAACAGTGTGGGTAAATTTTGTACACTGTAAGCACTCCAATGCATGATTTTTTTTCCCCAGATTCAGAGTCAGGATGTTCGCTAGAAGCTGTAGAAGCAAGGTAACTAGACTTAACCCTTTAACCCCTAAGAGTGACTAAGGTAATGTAAAGTAAGGTCATGAGAATAAAGAACATTATCAGCAGCTAAACAAGTTGTTGATTGTTACGCAAATTCTCTTTGTCAGCACCCTAGAGAATGTATAGAGAACAGTATGGAGAATATGCATACTGATGTTAGAGTATAAAGGGTTAACCTAATAATTACTTGAACTCCCAAGATCTCATTTAATTTAGTATACTCCTTACTGTCTGCCATACAATTCTTTTGATGTTAGTTTGGAGAATTTGGCACTGGATCACCCTATAATCCCCCTAATTGATTTTTTTCTTTATTCTCATCACTTGTCTGCTTGATATTGTATCGATATTGTAAGGAGAAATTCTGTCTTGATCACTTGTGTTTAAAGAGTTATATGTATAAAGCTATGCAGGGAGAGCACTTTCTAATAACTTCAATGCTTCTAGCTCATTAAAAAAAATTGGGAAAATGATTTGTAGGAAATCTTGTGACAGTCATTTCTATACCTTGTGCATTCAAGAAAATTTATCCTCCATGTTTCTTTCTCATGCATTTCTTGGGTATTAGTTTATTTTTATTTATTTAAATGTTGTTACAGTAGCTTCTAAAAGCTTGGAAATTAAAAATGTTTTTGCTTCTGCTTTCCTGACAATTAATGCTGCATGTCATACATCTGTGTTACTTATTTCATGGGCCTTTTTTCTGTTTCATTGTATCAGGCTTCAAGCATTGGAAAAGAGTTTCATCTTAGAGAATGGAGAAGCATCTTCAGTTGTTAAAGATATAAAACTGAAAGTTGATTCCTTCAAAGAAAAGCTTGAGGTTTGTATTAAATTTTCTGCTGATTAAAAGAATGTCACTATCAACAGAAAATAAAGGAAATTTTACCTGTTATTAGCCCTTTCATCCAAGATCTGATTACAGTTAATTCTCCCCACTAGCTTCTACACATTCCCTTGTAAATTAGTTACAAGAATTTGGTATTGGATTGAGATGACAATATCCTCCTGATAGGTTTGAATATTCTCATCACCTGTTTGCAGGATAATATGTGGATTTTTTAAAGGAGAGATTACATGCTGATCACCTCTGGGAGTTAAATGAAGGGTTATAAACTTATATTATCTTTGTTTTTAAATTGAGCATAAAAATATGTTTTTTTCTCATCCATGTAGAGTGTTGAACACCTTAGCTGGTTAGGCCTGTTTAAGGAAATGTCAAGGTAAAAACAAGTTAGAATATATAAATGATTTCTTTACTAATACATTTATTTCTGAGAGAAATACACAAGGAACTGATAAACTGATTGCTTTTGCTCAATTTTAGTGGTACTTCCAAGAGACCATCATCTGAGAAACACAGTTTACGAAGAAGAACTTCCACTGAACTGAATTCTGTGCTTGAGAAATTTAAAAAAATGTCGTAAGTGTTAATCTTGTACTATACAATAAGTTGAGTTATAAACGCATTTTGATCAGTTCTTCTTCATGATATACTAGAGAGCAGATGTATAGATGATGTCACCATGAAAAGTATTTGCTATTTTTCATGATCAGATAGAAAACAAATAGTTACTTTTCCGGGTGGGTCTGTTCAGATACTGTAATAGATCACAGATGATATCAAAATGTGGTGAAACCAAAACAGTGGCAGCGAGTGTGTCACTAAATGTCCTTGCCACGTTTTTATGACTGTGCAGACCCAGGGCAACATGGAACTCATTTGTTAAATATTTAATATCATATCAAGATTATAACTGTATAAATGTACTGTGTATGCACATAAATACGTGTTG